AATCGTTCATTTATAAACGATTGAATTATTATAGTTGAAATAACATATGTAAAAGCATATAATACAAAACAAACATATATCCACTTAATGATATGATAAATTTATATTAATACAAATAAAGTAAATTTAAAATTCAAAATATATAGGAACAACCAAATAAAAATAAAAGTATAAAAATAAAAAATGAGATCTATAAAAAAAACCATATAATATGAATTAAAGATCTAGTTTTTAAGTTTTTTAGGAGACAAAGATCCAACATTTTTGGTAATGTTTGGAATTGTTTGAGCAAGATATAATAGTGTGCTTGCAACTTTGTTATATACTATCTAGAGTTTATGTTGTCTCTTGAGTTTGTGAAAAAAGCTCCATCAAGTAAAATATCACCATTGAATGCCCAATTTCAATTTTTCCAATTTTTTTGCTCATTGAAATGTGTGGTGACTACTTTGAAGTTTCTTGGCTTGAAATAATTGTCTTCACTAAGTATAGTTGGACCTTTGTTTCTACCAATTGCATATTTGTCCCAATTATTTGAATAGCAATTGTTGATAATGTGGATGATTCTATATCAAGCTCTACATTCAAAGATACATATTTTAAAGTTATTTATTTATTTCTTTTTAATTTGCAAGGTTTTGAGGGATTTTTTTTAAAATCAATTCTAAAATAATATAAAAATGAAAAGAAATCTTTACTTTTGCATATTTTTGAATAAGATTGGATCCAAATTTGTTGAAGGCAATTGTCACATGCATATTTTTGTCCATTTTATCCTTTGATGATGAATCCAATAACGTTACATGTATTATTTTCACAAGCATAAATATATATATATATATATATATGTATATAAAGTTTAATAAAATAATAATAAAAAATCAACGTTAGATCTTCCAAATTTTCAATTTAAGAGACAAAATTATTTTTAATACCAACTTTTAAAAACATTGTATTTCAAAAAATTGTGTGAGTTTGTGTTTTTATTTTCTTATGATATGTGAAGAAATTGTTAGAAATAGTGATGTAAGTGGAACCTTTGATAATATCAATTAAACCATCTAAAATATTTAAAAAATAATAATGGTCAATCTAGACATGTTTGGATGATAAGATTTGGATCCTATCTCTTCTAGGATCTTATTTTGATTTATAAGTAACCACTTTAGTTGGATATACTTGCATTTGAGAAGATTTAAGCTCATGAATTACATCATGAATGTGCAATCCATGAAGGATAATGTGTTCCTTATAGAAGATAGAGATTTGTCAATGGATATGGATTTCAACCCCATTGCCATCAATAGTTTTGTGGCTAGATACTCATAATTCTCCATTCAATTTAATGGTCATACTACTAGAAAATACAATCTACAAAGGCTCATTTCTTGTGGTTCCATAGTACAAAGTCTTGGATTTGGGGTTTTCAAGATCATCACCATTGTCAAAAACCTCATAAATGCATCCCTTCCTCCAATAGCATCTCATTCAAATCCTATCACACAAAAAAACTAACTCCTAGCAATGGTTGTACCATTTTGAATTCCAAAGCCAATAATTGTCTACTAGATAACCTTGCAAGCATCCATTGGTCCATTATACTTCATAGTTGTTGCCATGAAGTGAGTTTGTTTTTCCACTATTGCAGAAAATAAATAAAATTTAGTGAATAAAATAAAATAATATATATTTATATACATATTGATGAATAGCAAAGGAATAGAAGAGTTGAGGAGTTAAAAACCTTGTAATTGCTTGCTAGGGAGGTATGTTAAAGAAAATTGGTTCATCATTGTATTAATAAAGGTGTCATCAGAAACATTGATGTGGGACTCATTGAGATAATATGCTTCAACAGGTTCAACATCTTGAATATTGTTCAACATTGCTACAAAATCAATATGAGACACTATCCACAAAGCAACAAACACAACAAAGGTGGAATGTAGAATCCAACAATTTGAAATCAAAGTAGGCCTGCGTAGGAAAGATATAAGTATCCTGAGATTTGTAATTAAACAAAACAAATCAAACCAATTGGAATCCTCAGCACTAAAAACTTCCAAATATTGATCACAATCAGAAAGAAAACCATTCAAAGCATCAAACACAAGTATAAAACAGACTCACTAAAAAACAAGGTACAGGGAAAAAATAGAAATCTAATTTTAGAATTATTCAACTGAACAAGTTACTGTCAGAGTAACCATTAGAGTAGTGTAGAGTTGACATCAGTGTTAGAAAATGTACTTTTAGGATAAATCTTTTTACTTCGACTGATTCACCGATGTAGCATCATCTAGATATCCAGAACTATCTTCACGCAAGTAGCAAAGATGCTAAAAGTGAAGATTAAAACCATTCATACCTGCCAGAGAGGAATTTAACTTCTGCGCAATTGCTGCGAGATCAGCGCAGAACGTTAATAAGGGGATAATGAAATAATGAAATAAAATAAATCCACTATCAGAGAATACTGGTTTGTAACTCTCAAAGACGATATAACTCTGAAAAACTCTTCCGAGTGGATATGCTACGTCAATAGCGGACGCCTAGGACAAATTGCTACAACATTGTGAGTGACAAAGTAATGTGTGAAATATGTCAATAGAAAGATAGGTAGCAGAAGATTAGAAGCTTAATCTACTCGTCAATCCGTAAGCAACGGGATGTATTCCTATTTCGCGAGCAGTTCTAGTGTGCTTCTGTAAGACTAATCCATGACTTTGTCGACCATGTTCAAAGTATTGACCTAGCTTTAAGAACATCTACGCAGAAGTCATTGAGCAGCAGTTCAAATCAATTCAGAGTCTGGTCGAGCCATGGCGGATACAGCTAGCTTCACTCGGTGAAAGTTCTGGCAATTCACTGTCATCTTCAGAAGAATCGAGGCGTAAAAATCCAGACGATGAGCCTCTTGCACTTTTCAACAGTCATGAACAGGCCATAGAATCACCAATTCGTGAAGCTTCAGGAGACCTTGAGCCAGGAAGTCCTCAAAAGCTTCGCTCTCTAATTCTTGAAGTCGTGTGATTGACTTAAGGTTAGATTGTGTGGCTTAACCTGTAATGCTGGCACTTCACTGCAATTTAGACCTGCTGCAACTGTTTATTCATTTTCGGAGTAACGATTTCTTGTTGGGCGGTATCGATATTATCATAATTGACCATGGTTATGAATTGACTTTTTGGATTTAGGATTTTTGGGTTTTGGATTTTGGGTTTTGGGAATGGTGTGGCAAGTATGTCTTTGGCAGTTTATAACATCTTATAATGTGTGCGCACACCACAACACAATCAATTTTGTAAGTCATTTGGCCCATTTTGATGGCCATTGTAGGACCTAAGCCTTCCTTTTGGCTCTTTGAAGCCCCTTAACCGGCTAAGCTAAGGTATCATCCATAATGAAGCTTCCACCACATGTATATTCATAAGATTCTTCCACAATTTCGATTCTCCTCGTGACCTTGTTGCTCACATGTCGATTACACGCCCATTTCCAACTTGTTAATGACTTTGTCCCTCGGAGGTCCACAATACGACACACAGTTGCGACCATGCCAACCAAAACAAAATGGGTTGCGAAGCCTGCTCACTTGCTGGCCATGGTGAGGGCACGCAGGGATCGATGCAAGGTTCCTGTGAAGGCAGGAGCGTTGCTTACGCGGCGATTGAATGTGTGGTCGGGTCCTTTTGCAAGGGTCAGCGAGACGATTCAGTCTGCAAGCGACTGAAGTGCGGGGTTGCCCGTGAACGTAAGCGTGCAAGGGGTCGACGGGCGGACCGGCAGATGAGAACCGAGAATGCCGAGTGGAGCTTCAGTGAAACAGATCTAGGTCCGGAACGCCCAGATTGCGCGCGAGCTTGCGACGAACAGCCGGCAGGGATGCAGGCTATGGCTCTCTCTCTCGCTGGTGTTGTGTGTACATCCCCATCCATCCATCTATCCCCGGCGCCGGGCGATGAAAGGTGGTAGAGCCCACTAGCGGGAAATGCAGATGCCAGGGGGTGGCGGTGGCGAAGCCTCCCCTCCTCCCATATGCATTGGCAAGGAGCAGAGTAGGTTGAAACTACATATACGAAGTCGAATAATTCAGAGCTCGTGTCTTTGAATAAACCCAAAGACTGCAGCAAAGTAAAGATAAACTATTCCACGGGGGATGACTTTTGGACCCAACCGGCATCCCACATGCCGGATACAACACCCTACAGTCTGACGTGGAACCCACTCATCCTCTCTCAATTCTGATGCCCCCATGTCACTAACTCACTGTGACCTCCGGTAATACAATCTCGCCCAGATGGGCTTGTATTGGCTCCGACAGACCGCAGTTCGCAGTTCGGAACTGTCTTAAGGATTGAGGTACATATTGGTTCAGTGGTTGTCTCGAGCTTATCGTGGGGGCGACAGTATTTGTGCAGACATGATATCTCGCAGATGATGGCTGGCGCCTCGTCCAGCATCCTTGCTCACTGATACGGGGCGACGCATAACAATCTAATGAAGACTTTGATTCATGATGATGACCTGGATTGGATGGGATTGTTTGAACTGGAGTAGGTTGTGTGAATCTCTCTTGCAGGAAAGAACTACCGGTGGCAGCCGAGTCGGTTGCAAACTGTGATCGAAGGGAGCGGTATTTTGTGCCTCTAAGCTACTATTCGAAATGTTGGAGTTGGTCGCGATGAGACTTCTATGTTTATACCTTGGCAACCATTTTCAGTATAATTCGTAGCTTACATAAATACTGCAAACTCTCGATAGAATCGTTTTCTCTGAATTTCTTGAAGATTCAACATTTTAATTTAATGGATTAGACTGTTATAAAGCTGAGTTCTGCGTTTGAAGGCTGTGCCCCCAGGGTTCCGATGCACGCGTCGAATAGTTATGTGCAGTGGGGTCCTCACGCATCAGTCTGCCCTACCCTTGACATCGTCAGAATATTGTATAAATCAAAAGCAATTTTCACAGCTGCATGAGTATTTCATTGGCGACAACGGTAACCATAAGTCAACGCGGACCAAATCGCAAAGTTTTATATTTCTTGACGTTGTTGAACATTAGCAGCAATGCATACCAGCATAACAAAAATGTAATTTTATGACAATCAAATCCTAGGACCCTTGATTCAATTGTGCAGAAATCCCTCTTTGATGGCACCTACCAGAGGAGATGACTAATCATTCCTTCGCCCACCTCCACGTGTTTAAATATGTTTCCTTGTCGATCTGCAAAGGGAGAATTACACCATCCTTGCCTTCAAGATCCAGAGCCTCGTTAAAAATGCAATCTGGAACCTGACCTTGCCGCTCCTGTTCACTAAGCCGTAAGCATGAATATGTAGAAGACCAGATCCGACGCCTGCACTTAGTCTACACCTTTCCGACTACCTTTTGCCGCTCTTAGTCTCCGTTTTTTCTCTCTCGCGCTTCAAGTATAGTCGCTCGAGCACACGTCTACCTTCGCATTGAGGAAAGTTACTTAAATCATAGTAATGCGGAGCAACGTCAATCAACCTGCAAACCCAAACACACGCTCCAACAAAGGATCTTAGAATATAGGCGATCTATCACGCTTAAATCCCAAAGCAGTTGCAATCACCTACTCTCCAGATCCCATAACCTTCAACTAATCAGGACAAAATACACGTCCAAAGTAACAATTATTCCTGTCTACAAACTGATCAGCAGACCCAACTATTGAATGCCATTACACATACAACACAGCTGAATGAGGATTTACGAGTCTTCCACACGAGCTGGAAAGGCATCATGCAACTCACCATTCCCCGCGCACATCTGTGACTATTCGAATAAAATTTCGAGTTGTAAGTACAAACTCATTATATAGAACCCATTCTGGTTTGTGGTCTAAACAACTGGATGGATGTAGATGGACCATCTGCGAGACATGGAAACGATCAATACAGAACTTTAATCATAACAAAACCTGCCCACCTTTTCATGACACATGACGTGCAATAGCCATTTCAGTGGTAATAGACTGCAAAAGCTAATATTGTCCAACGATAGACGATTACTATACTTATAATAGCACTTCATACAATTTATCTACAATAGGTTTATAACATAATATCTACAATTTCTACATACTCGGATTCATATTGCACCTAAAAAGAACAAATAAAAGACAAAAAACTAAGCGGACACAGGACACGCGCTCACAAACAAAGTCACTTCAGCACAGCGCAAAAACTCCAGAAACTGGAACTCGCAACAAAGGCTCAAAACTACTACAGAACTTGAGTTATCAAGTGTAGTTATCAGACATCAGACTTTGTGTAGTTATCAATGTCTGCGGCCGACTGCCAGTATTCAAACAATTGCAACCAAAAGAATAAACTCCTGCAATGACAAGACATTGAAGGGTAGTACACCTGATTGTCCTTCACAGTCAGGTAGTGACCAGTGCGCTCCAAATGCGCCACCTGCATAAAGTACCCCGCCAGCATAGCTTTCCGAATGTTCACGTAATAATCCCGGCTGTTGAAGTCCGTGCTGCACATCTTCAGGTTGTACCGATTCATGATGCGCACCAGCTGAGTCCGAACATTGTCGGCAGACTTCAACGCTCGCGCATTGATGAAATTTTCAAAACACCAGGTGGCGTCCTCACCTAAACAATGCACACATCCAACCAATTCAGAGTTCCAAATCATGCCATCCACGTAGCCAAACGTTCCCTCAATCTGTAAACCAGCACTTCAAATGAAGCCACACGAACCGCCTTCCTACTCCCACTCACCATGCGCCATCAAGTTCACTGCAGACCCCAAACTCAAGGTTGGCATACACAATGGCATGCGCGAATCAAACTTGAAAAACACAACACAACAACCCCTCACCGACTGACATATTGACCACAGTAGCGAATCAAAAACCACAGTCCCGCGATATTCACCACTCCCACGCGCACAGCGAGAGCGAGGGAACGCCAACGTACCGTTCTGTTTGAATGCGTGATACACGTTCAGAAGCGTCAGGTGGTCTCCGTCGATGTGCGAAAACCGAGCCTTAGCTTCGTCAGCTGCTTTTTGAGCATCCCTTGGCCGCATGAAGCAATTGGGAACTAAAGAAATTACGTGGCAAGGCCATATAATTTATGAGCCAAAATATTTCACAAAGAGTGAGGGGAGCAGCACCACGGGAGGTCAGCAGACGCAGAGAGGGCGAAGTGCCGTACAAAATGATGCACGCTGATATGACTCTGCAACACTTCTTTACACTATCAACATCCAACCTCTAACCATCACCTACGGCTACAAGCACGATTCTCTCACCAACTCATCCTCAACATTTCAATGTGGCATGCCTGCAACTACTAAAGCAGTACAAAAATGCGCACCAAGAGATTGCACAACAGACTCCATGCACTCCAACAACATCGCAAACGTTCTCAGTCCATCACCACTAAAACTCCACACCCGTGTGTTTCGCTCAAACGACAATCTACGCTGGCCAATGCGCTCATGCCAAGCTAAAAGTGCATCGGTTGCAAGTAAGACCTCCGTACCTGATAACATTGCAGTTACTGAAAGAATCTCGTTCGAGCAGTTGAACTCCGGGCTCACTACCAGCATCTTCGACATCTGCGGATCCAGTGGGAACTCGCTCATCAGCTCCCCCAACTTCGTCAGGTTCCCATCATCGTCCAGGGCTGCCAAGTAATTCAGCAACTCCAGCGCCCTCATCAGCGTCTCCGGTGCAGGAGGGTCCATGAAGTCAAAATGCACCAGGTCGTCGATGCCTAACTTCTTCAGCGTCAGCACCACATTCGCCAAATTCGACCGCAAGATCTCAGGGTACGTCTGCGGTTGCAGATCGTTCTGGAAACTCTTCTCCGTGTACAGCCTGAAGCACTTTCCTGGCTGCGTCCGACCTGCACGTCCCGCCCTTTGATGAGCGCTAGCCTTCGAAATCGGGGAAACCAACAGCGACTCCACTCGAATCCTGGGATTATACACCTTCTGCTTCGCAAACCCAGGATCGATCACATACACGATCCCGTCTATGGTCAGAGACGTTTCCGCGATGTTCGTCGAAACCACAATCTTCCGACCTGGTGGACCTCCTTCCTTTGCTGGTGGCGGCGCTGCATCGAAGATCTTCTGCTGCATGGCAGGCGGCAGCGTGGAGTACAGTGGAACCGCCTTCACTGGTCCCACTTGGTCCCCCAAGTTCTGCACCTCCCGACCTATCTTCTTGCACGCGTCCTCAATCTCCTCCTCTCCCGTCAGAAACACCAGGATATCTCCGGGCGGTTCACAAATGTGGATCTGGACCACCGTCCGAATCGCAGCCTCCAAGTAATCTCTCTCAGGCTCTTGGGTGTAAAATATCTCCACGGGGTGCAACCTGCCAGGGACCTTCATAAGCGGGGCCCCACTGAAATACGCCTGAAACTTTTCCGCCTCCAATGTGGCACTCATCACCACAAGCTTCAGATCTGGCCTGTTCTTCAACACCTCCTTGAGAAGACCGAATAGCACGTCTGTGGCCAAGGTCCTCTCGTGGGCTTCATCAAGGATGATCACTCTGTACCGCTCCAGCAAAGGATCGGTCATAGCCTCTCGCAAAAGCATACCGTCGGTCAAATATCTGCGAAGAACCGGTGGCAAGTCAATGCCCGCGTTCATCAGAACAATTCAAGCAAACGACAACCCACATCCGCCGAAGCATACAAGTGCTGGGCGTGCAATTCTGCTGGATGTATTCATAAAGTTAATAGTGCACTGGCTTGGCAACCATGGTTCCAAACTTATGAAGCAATCTACTCATCTACCTCGCACAAGAATCGCAGCATTAAGCATTGTATTTTTTCGGTATGAGCAAGCATAGATCTCCTGAGGACCACGACCTGCACGAAGGCTCCAACCTCGAAACCAAAGGTCAAAAGACGTACTTCAGAGTGGTCTTCGGACCGCTGCAATCCTCGAAACGGATGCTGTAACCAACTTCGTCTCCAATCGTCACGTCCATCTCGTCAGCAACACGTCGGGACACGGACATAGCTGCCACCCTCCTTGGCTGAGTGCAAGCCACTTGCTTCCTGTTGGTCGTGTACCCTGCTTCAACCACAAATTGTGGAATCTGCACACACCAACATAAGCCCTTCAGATGGACTCGCTTCCTTCATGTCTCTTGTTAATTTAGAGATTCCTGCAAAGGGAAAGCCAGCCAGAATACACAGCCCCAGAGAACAGAAAAAACAGCATTCCTCCAAACCTTCGAAGACCTGGTGCAAGCATTCTTGGCCGCCCAGAAAAACGACCATTCAATCCCACAAGCATAGGTCGCTTTTTTATCAACGCCAAGCCCCCTAAACTCAGACACATCATCATGTCAGTTCGACATACCTGTGTGGTCTTTCCGGACCCAGTCTCTCCAACGAGAATCATCGTCTGATTCTTGGCCAAAATACTCAAAAACTCCGCCTTCTGTTGCCAAACGGGCAGTGTCCGCCGTTTCTCCAAAATCTCGAAATACTTGGCAGAGTAGGGCCTGCCGGTGTGAGGGTTCAGCACGGGACCACCACCGCCATTCCCTTTCGACTTCTCGCTCCCGTTCGCAGCCTCGTCCACCACATCGAACAGGCTCAATTTCCTCTTCCTCTCGCCCGCCATCGCTCCCGGCGGCCTCGAGTTTTAGTCTTCGACCGCTTAAACCCTCAAACCCAGACAAACGTCGCGATCCCGCGAAACCCTAATTCACAAACACACCAGAAATTCTTCTTCTCCTCCACCTCGATCACAATGTCCCCCCTCGGATGTGCGCGCACGAGCACGGAGCGTGACAATCGCCCGCTCACAAGCGCATGAGAAACAACGGAATTGGTTGTGTTGCCCTTGAATGGGCCTGACTCCGCAACCTGCGAGAAACCACGACCGAGTTCAGAGGAAACGAGGCCAGGACCTCGTCTTCTTCTGCAGACTTCAGCTTTGCTTTGTTCTTCGAATAATTAACTTGTATTACATTGGATTATTATCCAGGTTTTCTATTACACTCCCTTCCTTGCTTTCTGTCTTAGGGTTTTGGTTCTTTTCAACTTTTTCCCTCCCTCACGGTACTTGTACAGAATAGGTCACTATGGAATACTTAGGGCTCTGGTTGATCGAAGTACATATGTGTGTGTATATATATATATATATATATATAATTTATTATTATATGTTTTGTTCATAAGAAATGTGCTTAATTCATGAAGCAGATTATAAACTTTGTTTTCGATTTTGTGGCACGGAGCAGATCTATATATATATATATATATATGTACATATATGTATATGCCGGAGGAAGCAAGCAAACGAAAGAGATCAGCTTGATAAAAAAAAGGAAGCGTTTTATTCTCTTGCACAAAAGCAATTGTTCGAGACAATTAGGCTTAACCTAAATATACAAAACCGTGCAAGGTTATAATGTGGGTTATGATTTTTATTTATTTATTTATTAAGTTAATCTGATAAATTAGAATGTCTTTCAGTTGTGGTGTGATACAAGCTTTTTGAACGGCCTGTTAAAATAGATTGAGCTAGTAAAAAAAAGCATTTATCCTAGTTTGATATGTTTTTCTTTTCACGACTTTTTTTTTTTTGGGGTTTAGAAATACGATTTTAATTAACATGCCATCTCAAGACTCTTTGGTGGCAATTGATTTAACCCTTAACAAGGTCAAACTTATAGTTTGTGGACAAAGGCAAACTAATTTAATAGAAGCCAAGTCCACAAAGTCTACAATGTAGTTTAAGATATTGTTGTTGAGAAAGTTGTATGAAATGAGTACTGGGTTTTTTAATGTCTTCTCACATACAATTGGGAAAAATCCACTTAAAAACAATTAACACTATAATTACCAAACAAGCTTGCTTGGTAATATAATATGTTTTTTTCTAATATAAAAATATAATATTGCTATATAAAAAGAGGTAATGGGTTTGTACTAGGAAATTGGAAATAAGTTATTCTATTAAAGTTTTCTACAAAAATAAGTTTTAAGTACACTACAAAAGGAAGTGCAATTGGTTATTTTATAATATTTAAAACTAAGCAACAATTTTTTTCTTTTTGATTTATTTATAAAAAAAATGTCTTATTAACATATAACATTATTAATTTGACAAAAAAATTAAACATTTTATTGATCTGTTGAAGTTAAATGTTAATGAGACAAATAACAAAAATGTCTTTGGGTTTTTTGTTTTAAATAATAAATATTTTATGTTTGTACAAAAAATTTACAGAATTGATTAATTTCTTAAGCTTGGAAATAAAACCAATTGTAAGTGTAAATAGAGCCTTATCTAAAGTTATCAAATCCAACAAAGCATAAAACAAGAATGCCTTGTAATTTCTTAATTTTTTTTAATAATTAGAAAAGTCCTCAATACAATCTTCCTTAATGCAATAAAAGAGAGAACAATTTAAGAAATTGGATTCTGAGAAAGTAGAATAAAATAAACCACCAATTAATATGTAGATTAATTAATATTAAGAATAAAAATGAAAGAACAAAAAATAATTAATACAATTGATATTCTATTCTAGTTTAGTTTACTTTCAAATTTAGCAATAAGTTAGGATAGATTAAATACAAAATGGCAAATAGAAATAGATTATATAGGAATTTTAATATATATATATATATATATATATATATATGTTTCATAATAATTATGTAGGTTTTTGAAATTATATGTTTTGTTTTGCTTTTGTAAATTAAACTATACAAGATGAACTACACAAGTATATTTGGTAGTCTTAGTTCTTCTATTATAAGTTTTAAAAAAATATGTTTTCTTTTTAAAAGAAAGAAATATATATATATATATATATATATATATGAGATTCATGATTATTATTTTGTATACTATTATTATTCTCTAAATATTTAAAAAATCAATATACATTGAAATAATTTCTATATAATAAGGTGAATTCAATAAATTAAATAGTTTTAAAATTCTCCTTCCATGTATATGTAAATATGTGTTTTGTTGGTTTTGTTGGTGTTAATTTGATCAACAACCAAGCAAATTTAGATTTTAAACATGTACTTATTGACAATTACAATATATATATAATTTGATATTTTGGTTGAAATTAAATGGCTACAAAGAAATTTTATCATTAATATTGTTAAAACTAAAATTAATTGAAACTATTTTTTATATTAAGAAATTTTAGATAGACCCAAGTTTTTATTAAATTGATCTATCTATGATGAAGCATATAGTAATGAAGATGAATTTGGTTTGTTTTCATTAGTTTTAGATCTAATAGTAAAGAAATGAATCTAGAGATCATTTCATTTATATTTATTTATTTATTTATTTATTCACAATGGTTAGGATGAATAGGTCAATTCAAGTAAAGCCCACGTCTATTTAATATTTTCCTTTATATTTTATATTTTTTAAAAAGAATCTTATCTAATTTGGTTGTTATTTGAGACTATTGCTATGTCTTTTAAATGTGATGTTTTTAAGATCATCCATTTATTGCACCTATATTTGAATTGTAAAAATTATTAATTTTATTTAATAAGAGATAGAAAAATAAGAAAAATTAAAAAGTCAAAATTTTAAAAGAAAAATATCATATATATCCCCCAAATATGCTAAAATATCAAGAATACTCTTATATTCTTGATAATAGCAAATCTACCCATTACTTTTGTGATAATAGCAAATCTACCCTTGAATGTGATATGCTATCACTATTCTTCCTTTTTTAGGTGCATCTAGGGTCCAAATTGCATCTCGCACAAATTTTGGCACCACCATTTTTGACATTTTTTGACACATTTTGCCTCCTCTTTTTTTAATGTCTATGTATTGTACAAATTTCTATGAAAGTACATGGAAAAAATTTCTACACTGCTGCACCACTTGCTATGTGGATGACTTGGAGGTTGGCTTAAATCTTGGTTTGGGTGCAAGTTTAGAAGGGGCACTTCCTTAGAGATTTGTTGTATTTGATTGAAAGTGATGGAGTCAGTTCCATAATGACTTGGGAATTGATGAGCCAAAGTGGGGTGAAGTTGCAAAGGTCTACAAGGGAGTTCAAAGAGCACTCTTTTTGTCCACAAGTATTAGTCTTAGGATTTAGTTCTTGCTAAGAAGATTGCAACAACAAGAAGGACAGACTTGGCAGAGAAGGCAAAGAATTTAAAAAAGTTATGTAGTCCACTTTTTTACTCGGGAGCTTCCATTGCCGAGACTCAAATCCGAGGTTAAAAAATAGCACCAAAGTGCGATACAGGAGGTGCCATGGCACGTTGGTATTGGCTAATTGCCCATTATTGGGGTGCGGCCATAACGGTAATGCATTCTCGTTTTTGCCACTTGGCAAGGTGTTGTTCTAAATTGCTGACCTACTGCCATGTGTAATAGCTCATTTAGCTTGGTGGAGCCAAATTAATTTGGCTTATACCTGCTCACAATATAATCAAATTAAGCTTCTGTATGCTCTCATTCTCATGGTTGTCTTGGTTATACTCCTAGGATATATTAGGATTAACAAGGGTGACGATTGTCGAGGTTGAAGTATGCTCTTTCATTCGCCAACTAGTCATGAATGTTGACACTATGTAGGTATTGCACAGTTGCACCATATATTTACAGAGCCGTGATGCTCCCTTGGAAGCGAAGGTTGTTTCTTGTATTTTCTATAATATAGTGAAGATCTTTTGGCCCAGATGGCAGCGAGTCAAATTATCTCTGGCGTTCCACTTGAGCCCTCCATTGACAAAAGATTGATTGTGGTGAATCTGGTGCTTGGTTTTTGAGCTCTCGTTTGACTTCTTCCAGTATGGCATCAACCTCTTGAACCATTCTTTTCTCTACTTGAGTCTCTCGTAGGATTTCAGTTGAAGTTTGATTGTGTTGTTCAACAGGGTTATCTTCTTGTTAACGGGACGCTGAGTTGGATGTGTGTGATTGTTGTCTAGGAAGCCCCTGTTCAATTTCTGTGAAGAGGGCGTCTATTTCTAATGAGAGGTTGTCACTTTCTGTGGTCATTTCAGTGGTAGTCCTTGTGTGATCCAAGTTGAGTAGTATCGTTGGCGATGGATGATTCTTAGCCTTTGCTAAGTCTTTGATAGAAACACAATAGGCGGGAGCCATTTCCAGTGTTGTGGATTTCCTTGGGTTGCAAAAACCCCTTGTGATGTCCATACTTTATGAAAGAAGGCTATCATGTTGTTTCGACGTTCTTCTGAGCGTTTGAACTTGATGATGCTGCACCAGACTTCGGAGCGGATATGAATGACCGTCTTCCAAGTTTAGAAGAGGACTTTCTCGGGAGAGAATGGATTGCCACAGTTCTCCTGACCACATTTCTGAACCCAAATATTCCATTTCAAACTTACCCGTAAGAGATCTCAAGGAGTGTTGTCGTTAACCAAGACTTTGTCCACTGAATCCCATGCAGAGGCTTCTTCAATGTTGGTATTGTTATGTCTTGTTGGAAGTCCGAATCTGATGTTGGGCCATGTGTTGTATATATCAGCAAGGCCATAATTTCTTCTCAGTGCAAACATTAGGCTCAAGATTGGAGAAACACGATTACATTTGTAGAGCGTGTGTTCTATGGTTTCTATATCACTAGATGAGCATAGTCCGCAGGTGCTTCTCCTAGCTGCTTTTGACCTCCATTGTCCTATAGGTAGTGCTCCTGCTAGGTGCAGCCACTGCATTGCTGCAAGCTTACGCAGAAGCCATGAATGCCATACTCGCCTTATGAAAGATTTCCTTTGCTGATCGTTATAATTGAGGCTCGCCAGATCGCTAAGACCATTCATGTGGGCTGCAGTCTTGTCAAGCCCTACCCTATAGCTTCTTTTGTTTGTATATTGATAGAAGTTGCATTCTTTTAGTATCCCCAATCTTAGCCACTTCCATTCTTTGGGATCCCAGCCTAGCTAGTTGATCGAGACTTGCCCAAAAAGCTAGAGTTTGGAGTCATTTGTTAGCTCACATAAATTAAATTCAAATACATCGTTCTTCTTACCAAAAGTGACCAGAATACGAACATGGTGTGGGATGCCTTGTGGTAATGGGTATAGACCGAAGAGGTAATTTAGAATTTCTTCTGGTTCAAGGACTTGATACTTGTTACGTAGCCACCTGGTCATTTTGAATCGTCTAAGGTGGTAAACGATTGAAATCTTCGATGTCTGTAATGAGACCCAATCTCCTATAGCTAGCGGTGTCGCACTAGGAGGTGTCCATGGGGATTGCCTGTTTCAAAGTTGCCCATTGGGTAGACATCGTTCGTGATCGTATAATCGATTTTATAAAAGAATTTGTATGCCATAGACCCGAGGGTTGGTGAAAGACATCTTTAATTTGGAATAGATTCTTGTGTACTCAATTTGAGAAAGATGAAGTGGGTTTGATACCGAATTGGACTCTTGATGTTTGTGTGATCAAGCGATTGCCGAAAAGAGGTTGTCTCAGCATTTTGGTTGGATGTTCTAGTGGCTGCTGTTGGAGCCCTGATTTTGTCTCCGTCCAAACTTGAAACATTGCTCACCATATTGGAGGGGAGCCTCTAGGATGTGTGCGGCCTGCCATCATCTAGTGGATATGCCGGGGCCATCTACCAGCTATTATGGATTTAGTTCGGGCTGGGTGATGGTGAGCGAAGAGCTTCCAAAGTTCATATCTAGGTTTCATGCTATGTATAACCAGTTTCATTAAGAGTGCTTGTGTTTGTAATCGTGGATCAAGAACTTTGACTCCACCATAATCAATGAGCTGGATTACTGTTGACCATTTGATCTTGGCTCTCGTTGTACAACCTGACTTTGCCTCCCATATGTAGTTACGTAGTAGAGCTCTAGTTTGTTTAAAGATTGGATTAGTGATCGCTGCACAAGAGCAGAGGTACCATATGATCGCTAAGATTGTTTGATTTGCTGTCATTATTCTACTTGCTAGGAAAAGTCCGTGTGTTCCCCAAACTGTGAGGCCTTTGGTTATTCTTTGAATAACTTTGTTGGCAATATCCTCTGCAGGTAGCATAGATCCTATGGAAAAGCCTAGGTATCTTATCGAAGTGCCTTGAGGGAGCCACTTCAGACCAGGGTTCCTTGTCCATTGCCAAGTACGCGGGTGAGGTGATGCCCAAATTCCAACGGACTTTCTCCAATTGAGCTTTGCACCACTTTCAACACAGTAGAGTGTAAGAATATTCATAGCTGTATTTAAATTGGCTTCATTTCCTTGAATGTAAAGTGCTGTATCATCTGCATACATTTGATTATTGGTTGTTCTGCCATCTGGGAGGGTTAAGCCCTTTAAGAGTTTGTTGGGATCGTCTAGCATGTGTCCTAGAACATCCCCTGCTAGTAAGTATAAGTATGGGGCTAGGGGGCAGCCTTGTCTCACCGATCTCTGTAGGGAGAATTGTTCTACGGGGTATTCATTGAGCAAAACTCTTGCTGATGCATCATTGCATAGAGACATGACCAGGTCAATCCACTCTTGTGGGAAGCCTATGTGTAGCATTGTTTGCTGCAAAAATGTCCAGCTCACCCTATCATATGCTTTTTCCAAGTCCAGGAGAAGGATGATGAGAGGTTGGTTGCTTTCTACAGCCCAATCCATAGCTGATTGGGCCATAAAGATGTTGTCAAAGATGCATCTCCCAGGGACAAAGGCAGTTTGACTGTTTCGGATCCAAGAAGGTAAAAACGGAATCATACGGTTTGCTAGAATTTTAGCTATGATTTTATAAACTGACCCTAGGATTGATACGGGTCTGAAATTTGTGAGAAAAGCAAGTTCTCCTCCCTTTGGAAGGAGTGATATCTTGCTGGTATTGGGGGTGCGACATAGGATTTTCGTCTCAGAAACCTCCTTGTCCATGCAAAGAAGGTCCTCGCTAGTTTCCTCTAAGGGAACCTTGAAGAATTCCATGAGTATATCGTCGATACCTGGAGACTTTCCGTTAGGTAGGGCTTTGACGGCATCCACTATTTCCTGGGTGGTGGAGGTTTCATTAGTTTTCTGCCTTGTTCTTCTGTCACGCAAGTAGGTACGCTGGCGAAGCAATTCATTCTTGCTTGATCCGCTGCTTCAACTGTCTCGTCTCTTGAGTAAAGTTGCTTATAGTAGTTATCCACGTACTGTTGCATCTCTTTTTGTTCAGTGAGTACTTGATCATTGTTGATGAGCTCTCTGATGGGTGTAGATTTTTGGGGTCCGTTGCAGAATTCAAAAAATTCCTTGTTACATTTATCTCCGATCCGTGTCCACTCCGACATGTGACGATCATGTTTCGCTTCTAGGGTCTGTTGTCTTCGTATATGTAAGGTAGTTTGTGCTTGGTTCAGTTGGTCACGAGACAGTTGGTCGTTCCAGTTCGCATGGAGTGCAATTTCAGCTTCAAAGATTGGCTGGAATTGAGCTGTATAAGTGTCTTGTTTCTTTGGCCTTGTGTGCCGCTAGCTTACGGTCACTATATTGTTTGATGAGTTTCAAACTTTCTGCAAATCTTGCGTTTCAAGACCTATCGGGGTGTGCTTCAATGGCAGTTTGCCATTCAGCTAGTAGCAATGTTCTCTCTGTCTCATCCGTTAATAGAAAGATGTAGAAGACTGGCATTGGTTTCCGTTTCTGTCCACGCAGTTGAATGTGCACAATTACAGGCGCGTGATCGGAGACATGGGCCAGTGTGGGCCATATTGCTGTTTGTCCGCCTATGCGAATCAACTGTTGATTGAGGTATAGTCGATCTAGGCGTGAGCAAATCATGTCGGGGGCTGCTCTTCTGTTGTCCCATGAGAAGGTTTTCGGTGTTAGTTTTCTAAACTCATCGGCACTGAAGCAGTTCGATATTCCGAGGTGTATTTGAAGTTCTCCCCATGTGAGTTCACACGGGCCCTTACCCGTTGATGGTTGACTTCCTAGTTTATCACTAAGCTGGTATATTATATTAAAATCACCTCCAAGTAACCAGTTAGCCTGTGGTAGTGGGAAGGTTTTGATTTTGTTCCAGAGGCGTGCCCTAGAACCTGTGTAATTGAAGGCATAAACATTTATGATCCCTATCTTGATTTGCGGTGTCCACTGGAGGGTTACGTATTGTGCTCGTCCTCTCATGATTATCCCATGTTCTGTAATGAAGTTGGAAAATCTGTTCGATATCAGTATTCCAGTACCTCCCTTGAAGCTATCGGTGTTTGCACTAAATGCGGCTTCATTCCAAAGAGATACACCTTTGCTAAATTCTATTTGTTTGGCATGTTTTATGCATTCCGCTAAAGCTGAGATTCCTAACCATGTAGACTACAACGGATGCAAACAGCCATCTAATCAATCGCCGCCAATGCTCCGCGCGCATGTGTCGCATGACGACTCCGACCCACCAATCGTGCTCTCCACACGGCTTGCTACACCCTCCCAAGCTTCATGATTGCAGGAGACTACCTGCTGGATCTCGGAAACGTGCGCGCGCTCCCTCTCGTGTCGCCCCAATATCCAAATGCTGCCCAGCGGTTTCGCAGAACACTTTCCTCGAACTTAACAGCAGTCTGCCACTGTTCTAAACCAAAGGTGTGACCCACCCACCTCGCCTTCCAACCTCACCCACCCATGTATGCTTGCTTGACGTCGGCTTTCTACTACCGCAGCAAGACGACGGCTGCCCAACATCCGCTCCCGTGATTCTTTTAAGTTATGAAAACTTACATCATGCCATTGTTATGCTAACGCCGATGGCTCACCAATTGAAAGGATCTCATAGATGAAATTCTGCTGCCTTTTTGCATCTCAACTATGATTTCAGAAGATATGTTTTTAGAAAGTGCCCTTCCTAAAGACATTTGTATGAATTGGACGTAATCACAAGACTACAAATCCGGCGCAGACTCTGCAGAGATGTCCCATACTTCTAATAACATGAATGTGTGAGCATTTACAGTCGTTCATATACTTACCATGAACTGTTACTTATGCAGTGAATGGTGCCCACAACTGTCCCATCGAAACTAACGCAGTCTTAGCGTTGAGGAGATTGACATAATGTTTAGAATTGGCTACTGCATGAGTTTAATAACTGTTGAACTCTAGCTGTGCAGATGAGTTCTACAGTCTTTGCGGTAGCTTGCTTACAGCAGCCGTAATGCGCTCACCAGGTATCTCTCGATAATTGTCATAGAAGTCCAAAATCTCCATCGCAATGTTTTTAATCTGAACGTGCAAGTTCAAAGACAAGTTCAAAAGGATGACAAGCACAGCCCTACAATTTGAAATTAAGCTCCCCTAAGAGACATCCACAACAGCTAACTGCAGAACGACCATCTTAAAGCTAGAATGCAGTTAACGCTAACGTGAACATGGTAATTGCTGAGCAGGGCATTCGACCATACCACATTCATGTCCACACGTAGCTCTTCAAACCATGACCTTGTGTCCTTCTCTTTGAGCACGCTAGCGATGTAGATGCATGCAAGTGCAATCATGAAAGGTGGGTACATCAGGATGAGGTCAGTCCTATACGAATCGTTCACCAGTGACCTGTCATGCATTAATACACGCCAACTTCATTCAATAGGTCACAACCTTGAAATGGTTCGTGGACTAGTGATGCACAACCAGGAGCTTCTTCCCTAATGAAATTGAAGATGAGGAAAGAATTATCGCTGCAGCCCAGCGGAGAACATGTAATTTGCTAGATTAAATGCTTCAAAAAAGAAAAAGAAAGGAAAAAGTCCGAAATCAACCAAGTGAATTGGGTCATATCTGTCGGCATGTTACCATCTTGCAGCAGTCTGCATCCAAATATGTACCAACTATAAGCTGTGGCAAAGAAAATCGCAAAGCCCATCTAAAACATAGGCAAACAGTGTCATCATGAAAATAAGTGGCTTTTGATAGAACATCTCCTTCAAGCTTTTACATAAATACCATTCTATACTAGCTCTTTGAGCAGGAGGCACACTTAAATACCACATACCTTTAGAATTAGGTCGCAACATGTGAGAATAACTTACTGAATAAGGGGACGGTAAGGGTGATAGATGACTAGATAATAATCCAGTGCTTCCAGCAGCCGCATCTCCATCTCAAGAATATCCTTAACGTCATAACGATGTGCTTTCTCATCTGGAGCTGCTTCAACAAACAAACGAGATCAATGAAAAACCCTTAAAACGACTAACAAATAAAAACATATTCTTACAAGTACAAGACGAGAGTTTCACGTAGACAAAGGACTGAATATTTCAAAAGAAATCATTTTGTGACCAGGCAAGGACATCAAAAGTCCACTGATCTAAGATCATCTATAAGTGATGTTGATATTCTCTTATCCAGTCTATGTAGATTGGTAGCTTTACAATATCCCTCTGACCTCTATGTAGCAAAGCGAGATCACCACCTCTTATTATCGTACAGTAGCGGAGAGTTTCATACTTACAAGTAAAGAGACAGGCGAAGGTTGCCCGAATTTTCTTCGTGCAGAAAACAAGAAGCTTAGCCTGCACTGTACTTTCTTCTGCTTTGGAGGCCAGATACAGACATGTAGGAGCAACTAGCCGTGGATCGAATTCGGAGAAACTTTTTCTGCACAAAAGAATCCAACTCCTTGTCGGCAAATATAGCCATGGCAAAAGAGAAATTGGCTAAACTGACCTAATTGTTTTGAAGTAGTAGTAGGAAATCATACGAGGTAGGAATACCTCGCTCATGAGTGAATATTGGATGTGCTAAGATATTCAACAATATGACGAAAGAGCAGGCGAATCAGATAGATTAAACCTAGTCCGGCGCTAGTTAATTTGGCCAAGTTGGAAAAGAGCCATGTTATATTGCGAAGTCTTCGTTTCAGGACCACATTCAATAAAGAATCCAAAGACGACAGCAAACAACATGCAAATATGAAGCAGATGAAGGGCATGCCTGGTGTAAATTCTTCTAAAGTATGCGATAGCAGTTGCGACAACCCTGCATTACAAAAGAAATCAGCGCCTGTATGCAGTTAAGAACGAGATAATCTGCTGATCAAATCAGACTTCGTAGAAGCAAATCAAATCAAGTGCATCATCGTGCACGGTACCACTAGTTATGTATTCTAACCATCAAGTATATCCTTCGTACAGCTCCTGTTTCACCCAGCAAAAAGGAAACTGCAATATGAACTCACCGCTGACGAACTTTAGCATGGTATCCTAGCAATTTGATGTCTGCAAGACAGAAGCGACTATGAAGGACGATGGCAGCGTAAAACTTAGAGAGAGCATAAGGAATCGAAATGAATGCACCAAAACAGCTCATTATCCAGCAATTCAAAAGATCCTTTGCAGCTGAACCATCATCGAGCTATGTCAGCAATAATTCTTCAAGAAGAGCCCAATTTTATTTTATTTTTATTTTCAAAACTTAAAAAAAGACGCAGACTAACAAGGATATAGAATAAGACAAAGGGTGCAAGAAAGGAATCCAGTTTTAGAACGCACAAGCAGAAAATTGTATCTTCATAAGTTTCACATCCTCGGGTGTAAGACCCCGCTCCGCATCAGTTTGAGCAACATGACTAACTTCCTCTTGGTCTAGCAGTTTCTTGCTACAGTCACATTCCCACAACATGCGTCTGGAATCAAATCACAGCAATAACCATTCAGACAGATGCCGTTCACTATTACTCTCTCAACCCACAGACCAAAACCTCAAATTCCTCCAACCCTGACTGCAAGAACAAAGCCTCGATAGCATCTTCCGTAACCTAAAAACCCCGCAGCAAAATCGACGCATTTAATTCGGCAAATCATCGGACCACAACTCATGAAAAAACATTATTCGAAAATTAAAACAAACAAACTCCACAACATCAAATATTTCGAACATAAGCTCGCGCGAGGCAATCCAAAAAACAGAAGGGTGAGCTGATCTGATCCGATCCTCACCAGTGCGAGGACGTCCAGAAATTCGAAGCCATTCGTGAAATTACACCGAATTACACTTCGACAGAACTGTATCACTTGCCGATCCTTCGCCACATGCATCACCCAACCGACGAGATGCTACTACAGCACTCGCAGCTCAGCGTGGAATTCAACCTCGCAACACTGCAAAACAGATCTCTGGCGAAGGAGCGTGAATTCTGTGCCCCGAAGGAAACACGAAACCCTAATTGTTGCTTCTTAGTCTATCTCTCTCTCTCATTGATTTGCTTTGCTTTGCTTAGGACTTGCTTGACTTCAAAATGCACTGTTTGATGGACTGGTTGGACTGTTTCGATTATGTCATTTGTTTTTAATGCATAAAGATGACCCATGTGACCAATATTGACATCTGATGTTTGGTGCAATCCCATTTGCAATTCACTGTTGCGTACATTTTTTGACTCTTTTTTTTGAATTACAGATGAAATATAGTTTTGTGATTTATTACTCTTTTTAAGAACTATGAGTATTTCACATACACTGTGCTGAGTTGTGAATGTGCTGGGTTGTGAGATAAAAAATAAACCTCCTTGTACAGGCAATTCCAGATCAATAACTTAAAATGTTCTAAATAGTAACTTTATAAATCACGATAAAATATAACAAATCATTTCAACATTCCTCTGTTGCTAACAACCTTTCTGTGCCTCACGATTTATTCAACCATTATCTTTTGCACCGCTCAATTGCACATAAATATCACATAAAACTTGTAATAAATTTTCTAAAATACAAGGCTTTCAAATGAATATTGGTTTGCAGAAAAAATTTCTTCTCTGTTTTTTTAAAAAATTATTTAAAATTTTCATGTTAATTCTCACCATTACTTTCATTGTAAACTCTTAATCTTTTAATTAGTATGTTGAAAGAAAAAATTACGAAATACATTAAAATGCATTAATTTTTAGACATAAGATATGAAACTTAATGCTAAAGTTCATATTTTCATATTTATATTATTTTGCATTTACTAAAACTCTGACATCTAAAATTGAGTTCTACTATGCAGATATGAATTGCAAAAAATAAAAATGGCAATGCACAATCATTAGTAGTTGAAGATGGATATATATATATATATATATATTCCATTTAACTTAATTCACCACTAGATTAATATATTAGCATTTTTAGTACTATAAATATATAACGATTGACTGAAATTTTATTTTCAAATTGTATTAGCTTGGTAGAAAGGGTTAGATTATTTTACTGATTAAAGGATTTTTTTTTTACTAATATTTGATATTTCTATTATGTGAAATTTACAACCATTGCCGCTCATTATTTGAAAGACAAAACTTAAATTTGAAGCAGCGTACAAAGTAGATAGTTCGTATTTTGTTACACAAAAAGGGTTAAAGATCAAAGACTCTTGAAGATTTTTTGAATTTGTTCTAAAAATAAAATAATATACCAATGTATAATGGCCATAGTGTTGGAGGTCAAAGAATTAATTTAGAGTTCTCAAAGACCCAACTATGTTGGCCAAACAGTTTTTTTTATAGTTTTCTTACCTAAATATGCATTATCTTAAATATTATATTTTTTGAAGTGGGCTCAAACATGAGCTTCTCTACGGTTTTATCACTAACTAAATTTTACTCCATTTATTAAATAAGATAAATACATAAAACAACAATGAATGAATCTAGCTGTGTGATTTAATTTCAAAATATTTATAATTATAAAATTTTAGTTATAAATGATTCATTGAGCACAATTTTATATTTTGTCTAATGTAATAAGAAAAAAAATAGTTTATTGAAAAACTCTGTACTTAAAAATATTCATGAAAAATTAGAAATGTTTTATGATGGTCTATCTTTAGACCAAGACATACAGAAGATCAATTGAAATTTTAGATTTTGATATTTTGACTATATTTATATGTACTACTAAAAAGTATAATTAAAATTTCTATTTAATTTTAATATATTATGATAATGATTAGTTTTAGTAAAAATCAATATCAATATTTATAGGATCATAAAGCTTGAATTAAGGACCTTTTGAAAAATAATCTAATAGTGACTTGTTAAATTATGTGCAATTAAATCATAAAATAAGACAATGTCATATTTAAAGAATAAACATAATCATGATTGTACACTTATTTTTTTACAAGTTTACTTTTTGTAACATATATTATATCTTTTGATGGATTGTATAAAAAAGTAAGAATAAATTATTAATAAAGTAATGATTATTAATAAAATAATTAAATATAATATATTATACTATTTTTTAAAGATTTATTGGAACATAATGGTAAGTTACATAAAATAACATAGTTTATAAATTATAGTTTGTATTTTTTTATAAATTATTATACATAAATTATTAATTATTATTAATACATATTATATGGAACATAAATATCTATTATTAATAATAAAAAACAATGTCTTATTATGTATGAGTGAAATAAAATTGACTTATGATTATAAGAATTTTAAATATATTTACAATATCTTTTAGTAAATCTAATTTTTAAATATAAATAATAATAATAATATATATATATATATATATATATATATACACACACATTCACAAATATAGACATGTATTATTAATAACACCAATAAATTAATAAAGATTTAGGAAGTCCTTATACTTAGATGATAAGTTGAGGAGTTGCAAATTTTTAATCCTTTTATAAGTTGAAATTAGAAACGTTTATTAAATTGACATTACACTTAAGAAATCAATCCAAAGATCATAAGAAGATAAGATGATGTGAAATGCACCTTTTTTGTAATCATATATAGCATTGTTTTCTAAATTATTTATTGAGCCTCTCTCAAGTTGTAGTTTTTAGAAAAAATTAATAAGTAGTGCTAAAAGTTCCTAAAAAGAAATCATTACAAATCAGAAATCATTTAATTTAATCTGATTTAATAAACTATAATTTCTAATATAACTTTAGAATCAAGAAATGAGTTGATATATTTAAACTTATAATCAACAAAGTGATTTGTTCTATTTCATGCACTTTGCATTAAAATAAAGTTTCTATAGAGGAATTTTTCTTCACGAAGTAGATATCTTTTAGTTGAAAATAGGTTAGGAGTTGGTTAAAACAAAGGTTAGCTATGAGCAATATATTAAACTCATTGTATTTAAAATGAATATGCATGAAATATTAAAATTTAATTGTGTATTAGTGAAGTTGTATATATGAGGTGGCTAATTCTGCATGAGTAATTAATTATTGTATACTTGTGTTGTGGTTGAGAAGTGTAGTTGTAATCTTTGGAATTACATGGGCAATATGGAGAAAATCCATCCAAACCTCATAAATTTGCAACACATTCTAATACCTTACTTGTGGACTATGCAATCCAATAGCAATGAGATTCAAAGGAGCCATTGAAGCAAGGCCAGAAGATGAAGGATGCATGAGATAGAGTTTGGAGATAAGCAAAAACAAGGAAAAATGGTGGCAAAAATTCCACTCAAAAATAGTGGGTTACTTTCAATCAGATGTTTGAATTCTAATTGACTCATCCACACATTAATATCCGTAGGTAGCACTAAATTAGGTGATACTTAATAGCATAATTAGGTGCCACACTTCTCAATTTTGTAAAAAGATGTTTCTTGATTTTGTAACCCACCACTTGTTGGAATTAGATTAGCCTTTATATTGGAGTTGGGTTGAAGAGAATCTTCATCTAAAACATTTATATAAATTCCATTTTGGACTGAATTGTGTGAAAACACCTGAAATCCTCTACCACGATGATTAAGTTATCCGAAATGGGTTGGCTACGTGAATGCAAGTCAATATGAGTAGAATGGAGAGGGTGCAGTTTAAAGCAACCAAGTTCTCAAGCTTGTTCAGTTGCACCAGCAATGGCTCAGCAGGCATTCCACTATGAGTTGGGTCGTCCCTCGCCATGTCGAATAATTCGCCGTTCGCATCCACGTAAGTTCTTGTATACGCCGAGGGATTTCAACTCTCTCTATGCGACGTTGCTTGACTGAGATCCATGCTTGTTGCGTGCCGACGATCCATGTCTATCCTCGTTCAGGACATGGTCGAGGTTTCACTGTAGGACGTGCGGGTGGCACTTGATGAATAAGTCTATCAATGATCATATTGTAAGTTCATTTTCGAAAGTGGAGGCTACGGGACCCCGCTAATCGGACCAGCTGATTTGTAATTTTACACTGGAGCTCGCATGCTCAGCTGATGAATTTGTGGGCAACCAGTAGACCGATAGCAGGTTGTCCGCACGCAGATCAAGATGGGGAATTTTTTTGCCAGGGCTAGCGATACTTGTGGTCGCCACTGGAGCAGGGTCGAAGATCGACAACATCGCGGTGCAATGGAACGCTCTCTTCTCCACAATTATTTGTAACACTCCGGCCGTGATAGCCGACCACAACATCATCTTCGTCCGCTACCAACTCGCGCAGTGGCACGCTTTAATCGCTCACAAGACCACCGGATCCTGCACTAGCCAAAAGATAGTGATAGCAAACAGCCGCCAGGTCCTGGCTAATTATTTCTCGTCTCGGGTGGAGGAGCAAATTGACCCGCTTCTGGTGCATCAGATCAGGGTGCTTCGCCCATCTGGGCTGAAGCAGAAGTTTCGCAAGCAACTGGGAGAGGCGGTGGCGCTTGACCTCATCAGGAAACGCACCCCCGCCCGCGAATTCATCCTTCAAGAGAATCAAGGATGCGCCTGACTTCGAAGCCGACGCTCCTCGCCCGGGCACCTACCGCTACACAAACCACACCCCAGACGATCGGGACGCCGCCCCTTTCATCTTCTACGACCTTCCGGTTGAGCAATCTTATGTGGTCCCCGAGGCGGTTGTGTTCATCAAGAAGTATTTGAGCCACTTGAAACCGCCCAGGGTGCCATCAGATGAATGGGACGAAGAATACGAGGAGGTAAACGTTGGAAGACTTGGGTCGCACGGCAGAAATGAACTCCACCGTTGCCCTCCTCTCCTGCGCGAAGGTGAACACCCTGACGTGCTTGCCTACTGCGACCTGGAGAACACCTTCCTCCGAAATAATCTTCCCAAGGAGACGTCTCTCTATGACACAGTCACACTCCTTGCAAAGCTCAGTGTTGCTCTCTTCACGATTCGTTGGTGGTAGTGAACACGCTCCAATATGGCTTCTGGTTCTGCTATCCACGCTCCCCAGTGCTTTGTTTGAGGAGAAGTTCAAGAGGGGAAGTTCGGATCTTTGCAGGAGCTGGTGTGAGCTTACCAGGATGTCTGTATGTGGGGAGGGGCCCACTTTAATATCTCAGCAATGGATGGAGCTAAAGTCGGCGAAGCAGTGGGCGAGTCGGTGGATGCACACTGGGCAGTGCAGCCACCTTCAGGCGTGATGCCGAGCCCCACTTGCCTGAAGGTGGACGCCAATCTGCCACAGAAACAGACACGCTACAACTCCATGAGACTTGTTTTCTAATACTTGTTCTACGTTGCCGCCAACTCGACTATCACCACCACAACAAGCAAATGCCGACAGTGATCATGAATGTTCTCGGCACAGGATTACAAAGCGAATTCTGAGACAACCCAATAACAACAACAACAATGTACATCTTCAGACTGGTAAACCCATGGGCTGCAAAGTCAGAAAGCTTGACTGAGACTGAGCTGATCTCAATTCAGCGCCGAGTTCTGAGAGATGTGGGAGGTTTAATATTGCAGCAATGCCGGATATTGTGTTGCGCTGATGTTTTTGAGAGTGCAAGACTAATTATCTATGAATGATGGACTGAAATATGCAGTATTATCGTTTTGGTATTATATGTTCAACTTGTGAGATAGGTGGGTGGGGGTATAGTAACTATTGCTGCAAAAACATCATGCAGACATCCAAATAGTGTTGATGTGATTCATGAAGGTTTAACATTGTTCAACTTGTTTGGTTTTTAAAGGTTCACTCGATCTTTTGTAATGAGCAAACAAGTTTATCATTTCAATTCTCCTCCATAATTTAATAAACTTGGATCACGCCACGCATTCTTTCATTTCACATCAGTTGAAAATGGATGAGAGAAATCTCCTGTTTGTTTTTTCATTTTCTAATTTTTTATTAAATGGGTTTGTGTACATTTAGTCCCATCTTTGAACTACTTTCTGGCTAGCCAAAATCAGCTCCATATTTTCAAAATATTGTGTATAAAAAATTCGCTGGAATTTTGCAGTTCTTGTGAATTTCTTTTGTCTGAACATATGTACAGGGTGTGTCTCTTCTGGCCAACAAAAACTTGGTTGAAACTCAGCAACATTGCCACTTCTATTCATGATGTGAATTGATAATTGCAGTGCAATTCATTGAACGGTGCCACTGATTTACAGCCTGGGGAGCATCTACCCAACTGTGAATTAGCAGAGTTGACTCAGGAGAGTGGTATCTCCAGAGTGTTGTGAAGAATTGTGACAAGCCTTGAAAATGTATGAAATTATATTTACTTGTACTGCTAGTGCTAAAGGCAGTACTAAATGCATCAATATGAAAGACATTTGTGGGCATCAAAGAAGAAGAATGGTATGGGGAAATGCTTTTGAGAAAATTTATGTGGGTCAAGGGTTGAGAAGTGAATCCACAAGTTGTTGATGTCTCTTGTTGATTTTTCCATAGGAATAAAAAAGAATTTTCGAACATAGAACACATATTTGCCTTTATTACTTTCTATTTTATCCACGAAAATTTTGTTTCTTGCATAACTAAAATAAGGTAATTAAAAAGAGAAAATTTAATTGGAGCCTATAAATATTAGAATTATCATTCATGCCCTCATCTAAAATTTCTCAAATAAAATGCTTTATTTTTTATTGCTTGAATTAGATTGGTCCATTCTCCAATGAATTTTTCAATAGTGCTCTCTCATTCTAGTTTTCTAAAATAATATGAACTTTGATTTAATTCTTTTCAATAAAATATATATATATATATATATATATATATACATAATCATTTTAACAAGAGGTACAAACGAATACTTCAAGAAATGTATTTAGCAATGGTGAAATTATGGGACAATTATGTATTGCACTAAATTTTAGCGCCTCTAATATCTACTTTGGAAAGGAAATAGAAAGACCAACAACATTCATCTAATACAATAATGCACCCTAGATTTATTGTACAACTGCCTCTCTATTAACTAACAATCCTTGTGCAACTAGAGACATCATAATTTTATGTCTCTAAATTCTATTACAAATTGTTTCTATCCCCTTAATACACTGCACTACCAAATGAATACACAATTGTCCACATTATTTTCAAGTTCTGCATGCTACTGTACGAAGATTGTGAAGAGAGTTGAAGGCAACAACACTAATTGCTTCACCCACTCTTCACGTTGACTCACTGACCTTTCAAGAATTTCTATGACGAATTTTGTAGATTTACCATAAAAGTTCCTGGAACTGATGCCACTGATTTTACTCACACGATCAAGCCAATGATGATTGCTGCCTCAGTTACAAGGAAAACATGGACGCATTCAGAACCTGCATATCTAATCCACGTACGGGAAATTGCCGAGACATGCACAATTCTAATTCATATCTCCAGGGAATTTAAGTACCTCACCTTCAAAGAAACAAAAATAAAACACTACGTTTCGAACACAAACCAACACTGAAGCAATAGTAACATAAAATAGTAGACGAATAACGCTTGAAACGCTTGAAATATATCACCTCACCATACCGTACCTATATATATATATATATATATATATATATATCTCAATTCACAAATGCTAAATGAAACGCTCGACGTCTAGCTTAATGTACAAGCGCAATACCAGTACCGAAAAGAGATAGAAAGACACTGGGCTCTGAACAGGTTTCACATAAGTATAAACTTCCGAATACAAACCACGAACTCTCAGCAGATGCATAATGAAATGGTGTAGTGTTAAAGAGCACCACCAGTTCATTTAAGACAACATCCACAAATTTCAACTATTTAGTTTCCCTGCAGATTCTGAAAAGTTAATTTTCTACCCAAATCAGCTAGCAGCAGCCCACCGGTAAGAGAAATGCCCTGATGCAGACCTACAAAGCCTACCCCCTCCATTTCCACTTACACGACTTGTTGAGAAGTTTTGCACCACCAGGAGCGCTAGGAGGGGCTACGTGGAAATTGCAATCGACGTGAATCCAGACAGCAGGAGTCTTCCAGTCTCTCATCTTGATTGCTACCTTGGTGTCTATTCTAGCGTCCAATGGAATATCGTTAGCACTAATATCCAACAGAAGAGCCGACCCATCACTATAGGTCATGGGTGCACGGGTCGCAAGGATGCTACTGTGAAGTGTAGTTGTATTGGCCACTTCCTGATACCATCCTGGTATTGCGGCCTTTCCAACGTTAGCTCCGAGGTAGGTCATTTGAACGTTAACCTTCTTGTAGTCTATTCTAATCTTCTTGTTTGGGTTACTGGCATGGATGGTGAAAAGGATATCGGTGTCAACATAAGTCGGATTGGTTGCTTTTAGGGAGGCAGTGGCGGTGTCGTACGTTGCAGTAACGTTCAATTTATTGATGCGAACATCTTGGACACTGAACTGAGGGATCTTTGGCTTGAATAAAATCCAGATAATCAGCGCTGCCAAACCTACCAAAAAAATCAACAGGACCAGTATGGAGCAGCTTGTGATAAGACATCGCTTACAGCAACGGCGAGGGTTTCTGCGATTGACAGGCTTCCGAGGAGGTCGGCCTACAACAGTAGGTGGGGGTCGTACAGGGCTGACGTATCCTGGAGTTGTGTACGCTTTAAGAGGTTGATAATTAGGATGAAAACTGTAGCCTGTTGCAGTTGATCTCTCTGAAGGGCTCACAGGCTCAGAAATCTCGGAGTAATAGCTGGGATGCACTCGTTCCCCTCGTCCTGCCATGATAATGCCGTCTCCACACCTTAATCGTTAAACTGAGCCTGATTCAAACAAAACAAATTGAATACATCAATGGAGAAGACCGTTGGGAAATACTTGACATTGAGTGGACATTGAGTAGACACTTAGCTTGCATATGTGTAAATTGGAAGTTTACTGCATCTTCTGTTTACGTGAAGTCACAATTTGCTATCTCTTCTAAATTTTTTTTTTCGTACACTCGCAGTAAACAGCATGAACTTGGCATCTAATTTGTCAAAACCATTATCATCTGCTTTTCAAAAGCCCTGAAAACCAATTGAACCCGATAATAGTAAGACGAAAGAAATACATAAGACCAGAATGGGGAACATGGTGATGGACATACTTGAAAAACAACGGAGAAACATAGATAACAATCAACATAATTTACCCAAGGAAAAAGTAATCTCCTCACTGCAGGTTGTCTTCCACATGAATCTAAGCTCTTCAAAAGGTTTTTAACAATGGCAGGAATAATAATATGGAAACATACAATCATGGTAACAGAGTCCGCAAGACAATAGTTGAGGAGTCATGAACAGGGATAAAGGGTCTCACTTAGTGGTGTACAGCACGCCTGTAACACGCCTCCGGGTCTCCACCGCGTGCAGCTACTCGAGAAATGTCTGCAAGAGAAGAGACCGGCGAATCACCAGCACATACTAAAAGGCTCTATCCAACTCACCCAAAAGAATCGCACACTCGGGCAAATACCCGACAGAAGTTGAGAGGTAGCCGCCAAAGAAAGGGATGATGAGAGAGAGCTGCAATTTACTCGCTTAAAATTTTTCATCGCAGCTCAGCGAACACCCGAAAAGCGCATGCATGCAGACAAGATGCACCAAGAACTATGCAAAAGCAGAGAAACCCATAGTCCATAACGACAGTTGCTTCTGCCTGGAACATAACTTGGCACAGGCCAAATTTAGAGACCTTCTACAACGCCCCAAGACTAGGAACCCATTTTCGACGTACCATGACGCGCAGCACCCATCCTCCTGCAAATGCTGCGAGCCCAATGCCAAGCCTCACTTCCATCTCCTGCTACTTTCAACCCGCGTGTACCCTGCCTGAAACGGTCCTGCGTCTCTAATCACCCCCACAACAAACACTAACCCATCTGCCAAATCCCCTTCCGCACGCATTACACCACCAGCACAGCTCTTGAAAAACACGAGACGTCGAGGTGGAGAATCAAAAACCGTGCGGGATGTACCCCAATGCAAGTCCACTTTCAGTCATCCAGCAGTCAATAGCACTAACCACCGGTTGGTGCCAAAAGGTTGATAGGTGGAGTCATCGTCCGAGGAGCGGCGTCGTGGAAGAAAACCAATGCATGCAAACAATAGCAAGAATAATACCACAAAATGATAGTATTATCACTCTGGTGTTTGGACCATACCTATTCCGCATCTGCAAAGGCGGTCAAAAGCAGTCTGGCAGACGGGACCCTCGGAATCTGAGCCTCCATTATTGAGCACAATCTGCCCTACCAGTGTATCTAGGTGGGCGCCTAGCGTACATCGGGCGATTTGTCTCCTTAAATTATGAGCAACTGTGGAGTGCAGCTCACATTCCAGATGTAATGGTTGAGCTGCCTTATTGAATTCTGCCAGCAATTCATCAACGAAAGTTTGCCGCGTAGATTGTTCTTACAGAAACAGAAGCAGTAGTTGTTCGTGGTTTCGAATTCCAGAACAGTTTCTTGAGTATGCTCCATCCTAAAGGTTGCAGACCGTGTGTCGAGCTCTGCAAGAAGGTATTATTATGAAATTTTAAATGTCCATAGAGCTTAAATCATTGCATCATTTGCGCATTAAATCCTAGACATGTTGGCGGTGTACAACATCTCGAATTCTAGACGAGATATGTCATTTTGAACTCTTTCCACTCACATGTATCACTTTTTTAACACACAACAGAGAAGCGATCTCAAAAAAATGGGATATCGGTCTGATACTAATCTGTTCTGTGGCCCTCAGCCTTATTTGAACAGTTTTGTCGTGGAGAATAATTGTTGTGTATTACAATATTTGACTTGGACTTTGGAGTCTCTCCGTTGTCGAAGGTTACTCAAGCAGTCTTCAACAATTTGGCAGGCTGGTTGATTTCTCTCTTAGCTCACGACTTATGAGCTCCTCTCAAACACATCAGTGCGAAATTCCACATCTGGAAATCACCATATTCTATTCAAAGAGCAGCTATTTTTTAAAAAAAGAAATCCCCCTCAAGAGAAATCCCACTGTACACTTAATGCTTGCCGCTTGGAACACCATTATTTCTGCAGTTTGATTGGATCCAGCATTTATGCTCACTAACAATGGCTTGCGCAGGGTTAATATGCAAATATCCGCTCAGCACATCCAGGTGTTCTAAATGCGATTATAATAGCAGAAAAGAATGAACCCCTATTAACTTTGGTTTGAATTCTCAAAATAGTGTTCAGATAGATGGCAGTGCAATATCAAGTTTTCCACATGCGAATGGTACCATCGACAGAGGAAGTGAGCATACAACTCTCCGTGGGATGATATGACACGCTTGTCACCTGCAAGTGGGACAGACAAAATCTGTAAGTACAAAAATCTCACCTGATAAAAACAACTTTTCTGCAGCAAACATACCAGTATACCTGACATTATCAAAGAATTTTCTCATTCCTTTAAAAACTAGAACAAAACAGTCACACTCTGACAATCTCCCAGAGTCCTTAAAGAAATGCTATTATTTGAATCTTTATTTAACAAACGAGGATTAGAGAAGTGAGTTGTCAGGAAAGGTTAAAGGAAAGTACCACAGCAGCATGGGCCTTGAAAGATTTGACAAGTACACCATCCACAAGATCCCAATAAAACACTCGACCATCTTCAGATCCGCTCACTACATGGGCGTCTGTATTAGTTAAGCAGCTATCCATCTTGAATGCCTGTTCGTGTCCATGACAACTCACTTAGTTAGGTGATAGCTGCCTCACTGAGAAATGAGCTAACAAGTACTTGATATCAGAAAATTGGATCCAACATAAGAAACATGGCAAGCTTGCTCTATTGAATGGCTTGAGTTCACCATACTTTATTTTCATGTCCTTTGTATTCCTGCAATTGCTCTCCAGATGCCCTGCATCATGACGAGCATTTTACTGTTAATATATTGTACATACGAAGAAATTGTGGATCATCACGAAGGTTACAGTTTTGAAATTTTGCAAGTTTTCAGTTAATCGATCTTCGGTATAGTTAGACACATCTAACAGGTTCAGAGTTCTGCTAGAACATGAGTTTCAAAGAAGAGGACAAAGGAAACCTGTCAAGAAGCCGTATGGTTGAATCAAGGCAACTTGCAAGAATGCAACCTTCATCATAAGACAAGGCCACACTGTTGACGGATTGCCCCAGGTCATCAACTATCTCTCTGCAAATGGAAACGATCACCAAATAGCTGGTAAATTGCATACTCGTCCATCGCAGAATTCAGACAAATCCTACGACCCAAGGGTAAACATTCTTCAATGCAAACCAATAATTTTACAAAAAACTTGAATCAAGTAGTAATAACACATGACTGCAGGTATAAAATTAAAATTCCTGTACGTATACAAGCAGCAGTTTGATGCCCAGCGAGCCGGATTGTAACCTTTCTATTATTCATTAACATAGGCGTATTAATCTGCAGGGGTTATCCAATCCTTAGTGATCCACACAAGAGTCGCAGCTTCCAGTATGCACCACTGTTTAAGTCGATTAAGTCTGTTATGCCCACTCGAGAATATTCAAGCATCCTTTTGTTTCACTTAGGCAATCTCAACAAGAGAACCACGAAGTCAGGACAATACCTGCCATTACGGATATCAAAAGTTCGAACAGTTCCATCCACAGAGCCAGCAATGATCTCTGTCTTCGTCAACTGAACAGATGTCACGCTGTCCTTGAATGTGTCAATAACCTGTGAAGTGTGTACTGGGATGTCAAAGATCATAACCTTAACCCACTAACAACTTTGCCTAACAAAGAATTCGTATAACAGCTTACACATAAATTCCATTTTTTGATCAAGGGAGCAGATATGAACAAGGTTCAGGCTTAAAATTTTAATAAATAAATAAACGTTAGACCCAAAGAAGCGTTTACGATTCAAGTTGCATCCTCACACGAAGTATAGTTTCTAAAAGGAAGACAGACTACAAAGAGAGGAAAAACCGATTCTAGATGAGTAAAGGATTCATAATGAGAATAGTTGAACCGGACGAGTATACCTGAATAGGATCGAATCTGTTAGAGCGGCAATCCCACGCACGAACGCTGCGATCACCGCCACCCGAAATAAGTGCCGCTGCATATTCATTGAACTTGACAGAATTGATCTACAGACGATTAAGAAATAATTCAGTGCCAATACCACATCATTCTTATAAAGCAAAATAACGTTTCTGTATTATTTTCGATTTCAGCTAGATGGATTTCACGACAAGCGACGGGCAAGTAACAATAACACTTTACTGCATAAATTTATATAACATCACTTTGTTATATTCATACAGCAAGTGCCATATAAAGCATTACTATTTTTATTAGTTCTGTTGTTATTATTGTTAATATTATTATGGTAATGAAGTGTTGCCAAAAGAGACCAAACCTCGGCATCATGGCCTTGAAACTTGCGAATGATACGGCCAGATGAAACATCCCAGTACAGAAGCTGACGATCTCCACCACATGAACTGAGCTTCGAGTTGTCACTGTCCATCCAACGCGAAAATTATAGGCTCGCAAGAAATTTGCAGATACAATGTTCATTATTCACTACATTATGCTCATAAGTTCAATGCTGTGGATAGTAGAAAATCTTCTATGAACCACAAAATTCCGCCAAGTTCCCAAACTATTCGCACCTTGAGACGGCCACGTCACGAACATCGCGGGCATGGCCGTTGTATGTCTTTATGTGTATTCCTTTGTGCGGATTCCAGAGGCGCAGACTGCGGTCCTTCCCGCAGCTCAGGCAATACTTGCCGTCTTTGTTAAAGCGCACTGCTAGTACAGCCCCTTCATGACCCTTCAGAATGGCTGCCTCTTTACTCGGCAGCCCTGCTGCTGCACCTGCCATCTCCGCTATCGAATTTAGGGTTCGGCTCACACACAGCTCTCCCTCACCTTCAACCCTACTCCAATTTCTCAATTTCTCACCTACTTCACCTGAACGCGAGTATTCCAACCCCGCCGCAGGCCAAAATTAAACACGATCACCTTCTAGTGCAGGAAAAATACACTAATGAAATCGAATCCATCAACACCTCCTGGCAAACTAAATTCCTATGCAATTCACTAGAAAGGCCTCCCCCACAATTTACAATTCCTCGTCAAATAAACTTCAAACTATCCCAAAAAAATCCACAAAAAATGACGACGCCAGATTGCATTCAGGAACGTCATTCAATGATCTACTAATGCCAATGCACAAGTTAAAATGGTCACACGGACTTGAAGAATCTGCACCTGATGAAACAATTCGCACCAACACTCTCCAACACCAACACGACGTCAACACTAATGAACGTAAAAAATTCCACTATAACACAGCCGTGGTTTATTTTATACCCTGCACCGACATTGGTGCCCTGAATAGATATTGATACCCTGCACAACCTCACCATGTAGTGAGGACTCGGGAGGTGGAGGATCGTAGTGTCAAAATTATATATAAAGAATGAATTTGACCACTGAACTTACATCCTTCACAGCAATTTTTTCAAGGAAAAATAAAAATAAAAACAAAAACCTCTATAGTAGCAAAAATACTGCAAATTTATTTTTATGAATATTTCATTAAAAATTCAAATCACTCTTAAGATATGTTGCTAAATTATTCTTTTTAGTAATTTTAAAAAGAAAAAAAGATATCATATTTAAAACCACATTAAATAATCATATTGTGTCACTTGACTTGTGATTTACTTGGAATAAATCTATGACTTTTATGTGGATTGAATTTTTACGTAAGAATATATGTAAAGTTTTAACAAAATTTGGAATTTTCTCTGCAGCATCATCTTTACTATACATTACATTTTTCCAGTACTTTAATTATACAAAGCATTTTGAAATAATTGCTTAAAACAATTCAAAATTATAATTTTTTTCTATTTTCAAAGTAACTTTATTCTTACTTAATTTTGGTAATATTGAACAAAATAAATTTGTTGCAGAAGAAAATTCTGATTTTCATATGCACAATATACAATGATAATTATTATTTTAAAAATTATCTTAGAAATTCATTATTTGAACTGCTACTTATATATATATATATAGTGAAATATATAAATTAAGTTTTTTTGTATTATATATCTCTCACTGACCTCATAAGTTTTAAAGAACAATGAATAAGATTATTACCAAAGGCATATTTAAAGTAAAAATGTTTATTCATTGAAATAATTTTATTTAAATTAATTTTAAATTTCAAAGAATAAATAAATATATATATATATATATAGAGAGAGAGAGAGAGAGAGAGATGTTAAAACCACATCCCCTTTGTGACCTCATAATTCATTCTATACCTAACCTCTTTTCTACTTCATGATTCATTGTGTACCCAACTCCTTTCCAAGTCCAATCCAATCTCATTCCCACTTTGTCTTGAGTCTCATAAAGTTTTTTGAACAAATAAAAAAATGAATGAATTTTGCAATATATCTAAAAGATTATTGTGCATTAGTAATAAAAAAAATGGTAATATAGTAGAATCAGCAATGATGATAATAATATTAATTTTACCAAGAGAAAATTAAGTATGAGTTTACTTTTAAGAAAAGTCCATTTTTTTTACATTTCAAAACAAAGTTTCTAAATCAAACTTTAATATATTGCTTGTAACTTATTTATTATTGTAACTTATTTTCATTATTTTTTTTAGTTTTATTGAAGCAACTTCCAAAAAAAATCATACACTTTTATTTTAGAAAAAATAACAAAACAAATTAGATAATAGATATTTATTTTAAGAGTTAATATTATATTTAATATTTTAATATTGAGATTAAAAAACTTATGATTTGATTTGAAGGATATGTGTGTTAATAATCTTTTTGGTATATTGCACAACTCATTCATCATTTTGTTTGTTCAAAAACTTTATGGGAGGTGGGAACAAAAAGGGAGTGGAGATGGAGTAGAGATGGAGGGGAGTGGAGACATGGTGGAGACAATGGCTAAGAATAGAAGATGGTGGCTAGGAATGGATTGGAGATAGGGGACAAATACATAATGAATCTTAGGGTGGCAAAGAGGATATGGTTTTAATAAAATTGAATTTTGGCTTCAAAAACTCCCTAAACATATATATATATATATATATATATATATATAAGCTATGTTGATAGAAATAATAATCATAAAATAGATTCTTAAATTTTTTTAAAAATAAATTATTTAAAGGTATTATATATAAATTGATGCCATTGTAATAATACCATTATGAGCTTCAAAACTAAGCATTTTTTATTGCATTCTAAGTTTGAAATCAACAAAATTTATAACAGATGCAATGAATAAAATTTTAATAATAGATGTAAATATAAAGAAAACATAGTTGCATTAAAGAGATGCTATCAAGGACAAGAACTCAATAAAAAAGAAATTCAGACAAGTGAGCCTTCACTCAAAGAAAAGTAACAAAATATAAATAAATAAGTATGTATATTGAAAGAGAAACTGGAATGGCTATTGCCAAAAGACAAGAAAACTAGAGACCCTTGAAACTAGACTAGAAGCAAGAAAGGAGTTGACAAGAGTGAAGAGGGCTTCATACTTGTTTCTATATATACTATCTAACTAGGGGCAACGTGGCGACGTTCTATAGGACCTCTAATATGTATTGACTTTGTAAGACACATGCCTTGACTTACAAGGTAAGTTTTTCTACGTGTGGGCTACATAGTTAGCTTGATCTTCAAGCTAACAACATGTGTGGCACATGGCTAACTTGTTGACCACGTTTTTAATCCAAAAAGTCAATTAAAGACACCTATGAAGTCAAAGCAGCATCTATGAAGCTTCTAGAAAGCTTCCATATTAAATACTATAGAATTAACTTATTTTTACCTACTTTTACTTACTTCCACCTATTTGTATTTATAATTACTAGCTTACATGAGTATGTCCGTGACAGATACACGCTTTCAATGAATTTTAATTTAGATGTGATAGTAAATTGGATTAGCTTGAATTGCTAATGCTAGTAATGTTTGGATATTTGATGTATCATTTGATAGAATAATACTTTTTTCTTCAAAGATTTATAATATCAATTATTCAATTATATAGTGATATAATTAAAAACAAAAATTTACATTGATGGTTCATATAAAATTTTTTGTGCAATTGCAATGTAAAGATAGAGAGAACTTATATTTGTCTTTAATAGATCCAATAAAATTTAAAATATATATAATATATATTAAATTTTAAAAAAAGTCTAACATGCTTATTCAATCAATGCTACCAATTGAACTTGATAATACTTGTAGGCTAAATGCATTTAAATGTAAATATAAAAGAATAGATAAAAGTAATTTATTATTATTATTATTATATTATTATGTAATATTTGTATGCCTTCAAGTATTTTATTTAAACTTCTATCATTTAATTTAATTTATTTTTTATTTAATTTAAATTATAATAAAATATTATTCTATTTTAAAAGAATAAATAATAATAATAAAATAATATGAATTTCATATTAATATTTCTGAAATTTAAATATCTTGTTATAATCAATGTTTTATTTTACTACATATAAATAAATATTTTTAAAAATAATATATATAAATATTTAAATATATATAATTATTAAATAATTTTATTTTTTTATTAAAAACATGTATAAGATGATTTATAAAATTCTATACATAATTATTTATTCATCAATTGATATATTAATTCATCTCAAAGATGATCTAATAAAAAAATGATTATATATATGAATATATTTAAATATAAATTTTAATATTTTAAATTATTATTTATAATCTATTTAATTATAAAAATAAGATTAATGATCATTTTTTATTATAATTTAACTATATATATATATATATATATATATATTTTTTTTTTTGTTAATTTATATGTTTGAAGAATTCAATCTTCTACACCTTTTGTCAAGGACATGATTCATAAAAAACTTTAAAAATTCTATAAAATCTTATAATTTTCAAAAGAAAAAATGGACAAATCAAAGATAGAAATGAGAATGAAACTAGAATGACTATTGTTATATGCAAAGAAACTAGAGATTCTTGAATTAAGACAAGAATATAAGAACGGCATTGACAAGATCAAGGAAGGCCTCATTCTTGTCTTCTCTCTCTCTCTCTCTCTTTCTCTCTCTCTCTCACTCCATATATATATATATATATATATATATATATATATATATATATATATATATACTATTTAACTAAAAAGCTATATTTCAATGTTTTATAGGCCATCCAAGATATGTCTAGTTTGCAAAGCAAGTTTTTCAATATGTGCACCACATGGCCAACTTGTATCATAAGTGGCCAATATGTATAACATGTAGGCAACTTGTAAAAAAAAATAGCCAATATTTTTCATAAGTGGTTAACTTATTAGACGAGTTTTCAACTTGTCAATTATCTAGAAATACTTGTAAAGGTAAATCTATATCTAGAAAGCTTCTAAAAAAATTCTGTATAAGATATTATCAAATTTACTTACTTTTAATTCTATCTAATTCTTCTTATCTTTCTAATTACTAATACTAATGTTAATATTTGTAACACTTTCATCTTTGTAATTAATCTTAATTAAAACCAATGTAAATCAAATATAAATATTTATCTAATTATAATATTACTATATTAATTAAAAAGTATGTAGTAGGTAGCTTAGAAGCTAAGCTATATTATGTGGCTTTCTAGAAAGCTTCTAAAATCAATTATAAATCAAGCCATGTATTATATCTTGGATTGTATGACTATTTAGAAAGTTTCTTAAGGGACTTCTTAAGACTTGGCTAACAAGTTATCTATTAGCTTGCATGGCAAGAATTGAGAGGCTTAGAATCTAAGTCTATAGTTTTAGAATAAAATAAGTAGAGACAAAATTAAGGCTCTTTTTAGTCTTATTAACTTATTTTTTGAGTTAATTCTTCTTGCGGCCACTAGACCTTCTTGTTTCTTATAATTAACTATTGCATATCATTTTCTTAATTAATTTATTTTTTACTTTGATATATTCATCTCAATTTTCATTACTTGAAAATATTCCTTCTTCATTGAATTTCTAAATGCGTCTTTAATAATTTATATGTTGGTTAAAGTTAGATTATTACTTTCTTTTATCATGACTACTACCTACTAATTTTAATTTCTCAATTATTTCTTAAGGCTTCAAAAACTCTTACTTGACTTGTTTCCATCTTTGAAAAGACCAAAAAGTTTATATTAGTAGAAATTTTAGTGAAATAAGATTAAAAAATTAAGATTTATATTTATACCATTTTAAGACCTAGATTATAGAATTTAAATTAAAACTTATTTATTATGTTGATACTTAACCTATCTAGATATCATTCACTTGATATAAGTAGAAATATTAATGCCTTATTTGATTTATCTAAGTAAAAAACATTATATAACAGTTGTCCAATTGGTCAAAATTTTGTTGAAATCTTTGTATCAAATTTGATTGATTTTATTTATATTACTAAAATATACTTTCAAAAGATTTTTTAAAATTAAGAAACAATTCACATGACATTTCTCTTGTTACAAGAAATCAACCATTTTTTGATAGAAAAGCCCAAATCATGTAAGATATTTCAGTTTTTTTAATTAATGAATTTTAAATACAGAGTAATCAAATTTCTAAGTATTTAGAAAATCAAAGAAGATTTGAGGTACATTTTTTTATAGTAAAATGATATTAAAATTACAATTAAAATTTGATGTAAGTTCTTTAATTTTTATTGTTTTTAATTGTTAAAATTTTAAAAATAAATAACTATAAATAATATAATATATCAGCTATATGAATAAAATTGTCATAATCATTGGTGTGAGCATATTTGTACAAGAAAAAATTATCAAAGTTTTCTATTTATTTTTTTGGTGCATTTCACCAAATTCTTATTTAAATTTACTTCATTCTTCTTTCCTCTCTCTCTCTCTCTCTCTCTCTCTCTCTCTATATATATATATATATATATATATCTCATTTTATTTATTTAAATTCTCATTCTTCATATTATAGTATTTGATATTATTTTAAAATTTTATTGAAATAATAATCATAAATTTTTACGTTTAGTGCAAGTTTATTTGAAAAATAATTTCTTATATTAAGCATTCAAATAGCATGTTGGTGTTCTAAACCTATAGATTTTTTTTCCAAATAAATAAATTATATAATGTAAATGGGTTTAAGATCATTGTTTATATTTAATTCTTATATTCTTTTAACAATGTTTTGAATTAATATTTAAAATTTAAGTAAAAATAAGATGCATATTTATTAACATTATACATTTATACACATGCATAGATGCATGAATGAAAATGAAAATTCTCTGATAAATGAAATATTGAAGCCCTCAAATTGAATCTCAACTCCGTTTTTCATTTTTTTATTAGTAAATATAGCATATATACATGCACGTATACCAGCAAAAACATATGCCGTTGGGCACCACAATTTGCAACACATCCATCCATTCCCTCATTCATCCACCCTTTTGTTCCCATGTTCCCTCTTCACCCTTTACTCTTTACCCATGTTCTTTGGTTCCCACATTCCTTGGTTCCCGTGTTCCCATGTTTGTTCCCATATTCCCCAAGTTCCTTCTTCATGGCCAATCAAAAATGCTTCTTTGTCTCTCTGTCTTGTTGTATACCAAAGTTGTCTTATATAATAGACATGTTTTTATTCATTTCTTCTCCCCTCCTTTGTGGCATTCATGAGGAATTTTGTGCCATGAGCCAAGACTAGATTCATACCCCACTCATTTCCTCACCTGCGCACCATTCCACGACAGAATTAGTGGCCGTTAAAACAATAATAGGAACACAAAAAGCGGGCAGCTCTGCGTCTAGAAGGGGGAGGGGGAGGGGGGGGTATCTCATAACTTTAAAAAAAGAAGGGGGACGACGAAAAAGGTGAGCGACGAGAAAGTGGACAAATGGCGACCACAGCCACCAACATTAGCCAGACACCACCAGCCACAGGAACCAAGCCCATCCGAGAGGGGGGACGGAACCTCGACGATTGGCGGCGCGTCCCCCGACCCCACGTCCTCGGGCCCTCGTGGCCTGCTTCCCCGCCTCCCACTTCCGTCCTTCTCTTCGTTCCCCCCCTTTATGACGGCGACGACGCTGTTCGATCTCGTTCTCCGACGTTCGCTCGTTGGGGAACACTGTCTCGCACCTGGTCTGATGTGTGCGGGCTTGGAGACCTCAGCTGCCGCAGTCAGAATCGACGACTACTAAATGGTCTGTTTCGGCCCATGTGTTTCCTCTTGTCGTCCTTTTCGTGCTCGAATCCGTGTGGTGTTGCGACGGAGCTTGCCATCGAGGAAGAATAACAGCATCAATCACTGTTTCTTTTCTAATTACATTTTCCTCGTTTGTTTGTGGACCTTGAAGGCAGTATCTTAGTTCCTAGACGTAAGGTTTGAGAGGTCGGAGAGGTCGTAGAGTGTGCTGAGACAGAGCAGTTGAGATGGGAAGCGACGGCATGGATATTGGTTTTCTGGGCTTGGGAATTATGGGAATTGCCATGGCTCGGAATCTGCTGAAGAAAGGGTTTAACGTGACTGTGTGGAACAGAAGTCCAGGCAAGGTTTGTTCATTCCTCACATTGTCACTGTACAGGAGCTTACGGTCCGAGTAGTTCCAGTGAATTGAGTGGCTTAGATTGTGTAACGTTCGGTGGGCTTGTGTACGTTTCTGATGCATTGTGTGTGTGTGTGTGTGTGTTTTTTTTTTTTTTTTTTTTTTTTTTTTTTTTTTTTGTTTTGAAGTAGTCTATAGGCAATAGTTTTAAAATTATTTATTCCTCAGCCTCAATCTTGTGAATAGTCCTTGTTTGGAATCTTGCGTGAACCTCGTAATGACTTGTTTTTAAGTTGTCATCCTGTTACCGGCTGCCAGTTTATCAATCGTTGGTATATTTCAGTTGAGACACTGTTCCTTTACAACAATCGATGCATCTTTTGTGGATCCAGTGCGAGGAGCTTGCGAAAGAAGGAGCTTCAATCGGCAGCTCTCCAGCAGATGTGGTGAAAAAGTGTTCCATCACCATAGCGATGCTGGCCGATCCATCTGTAGCGATATCGGTAAGTATGCCTTTCTGCTGCAGTAATTTCGTCCTGCATGTCTATTCCGGAAAGTGCAGACAACTTGTTTATGTCATGCCATTGACCTTCTCCACAGGTGAGCACCTGTTGAATTTTTCTGAATGAAACTTTGTGGCTGTAAATATTTGAAGTAATTTCTAGTTTCAATTGGCTATGACGATCTAAATACATTGTGTACGAATGAAAATTCTCTGGCTTGATTTGATATTCACCACCGAACCGACGTCAGAAGGATTACGAAGATGTTAAAACAAAATCGTAAATAGCAACTTATCCTCTTGAGCTTTTTCTCTCTATCTTCGTGGTCTTTGGGCTTTTTCTTTCTCGCCTCTTTTTTTCCCGTCTAGTGCACGTGCTGATGAAGAAGGCGGTATGGCTTTAACTGCAGGTTGCATTGGGCCCTGGTGGAGTGGTGGAAGGTATTACCCCTGGAAAAGGATATGTGGACATGTCCACCGTCGATTCCGCGACATCATCTCAAATCGCGAAGGTTGGAGACATTCTGCTTACTAAGTGTTCTACTTGGTATTCTTCAATTGCTATTGTTTGAGTAACTAAGTAAAGATTACTTTTAGCTGAACCTCGCCCTATCTCATGCTCACTTAGAAAACATGGGAGCTCCTTAGTTTGTGTATGCTCATGTCATCATTCGGTGCCGTAGTATGACCTCAGTCTGCACGAGGACACCTGCGACTTATGTTGGCAACAAACTGATGTGGACGTTCTCTGAACAGGCTATTGAAGCAAAGGGTGGAGACTTTCTGGAAGCACCAGTGTCAGGTAGTAAACAGCCGGCCGAAGCGGGTACTCTTATCATCCTCGCTGCGGGCAGTGAGGTATATAATCCTTCTAGTGCATGTCGGTGGTTACCTGCTCAACTACATCAATTTAGTCATTGAGAAGTTAACTCTGGAGTCGGTCTTTGATATTACCCTTCTCATAAAGTATTATTGTTTGCAGTCTTTATTTGCTAAGGTGAAACCAGCCTTCGATGCCATGGGAAAGAAATCCTTCTTCCTGAATGACGTGGGTAGTGGTGCCAAAATGAAACTGGTTGTCAACATGATTATGGGCAGGTACCTTTTTGTAACCACTGTTGCTTTTGTTATTCTCTTGATGTTAAACGACGTAACAATTTGTGGAATTCTGTTTTTTGAACACATTCTTCAAAACGTCAGGCTGACGCTAACAGCATCAATTGGCATCAATTGGCAGCTTTGCTGTTGTTGAATATCCAAAATGTTTTCTATCATTCTATGGTCGTCGTGACTGGTTCACCTAGTTCTATACGGGACTAAACAAGGTTGTGATTTTGTTGGCTCAATAGGTAAGTCTGAAGAGTGACCTAATTAGATTGTCTTTGTTGGTTGGCAGCATGATGACGGCTTTCTCAGAAGGTCTAGCGCTGGCAGACAAAGCAGGACTAAGTCAACAAACTCTCCTTGAAGTTCTGGCAAGTACCTATCCTCTCAGTTATTGTAATGCATGCAACATCGTGGATTTTGATCATATCTATCGTACACAGAAGTCATATAACTAGAGCAATTAGAGTCCCGCGGGGTTTTGCTCACTCCTTATACCCGCTGTATGTGTTACCTTGTGCAGGAGCTAGGTGCCATCGGTAATCCAATGTTCAAGTTGAAAGGTCCATCCATGATTAGCGGAAAATGTCCCACGGCATTCCCACTGAAGCATCAACAGAAGGATATGCGTCTGGCGCTAGCTTTGGGAGATGAAGTTGGACAGTCAATGCCTGTAGCAGCTGCAGCTAATGAGGTGATCACTCTTTTAAACTTCTATGTGTATTATTTACATGGTAGTTACACCCCTAAATTGACTTCCACCTACCTTATTAGGCCAACTGTCGTTGTCCACAGTGTAAGACTTCAAAATAATCAGACACTTTTGTCCCACGCAGATATACAAGAAAGCTCGAAGCCTGGGTTTAGGTGAACAAGACTTTTCATCTGTACATCAAGCACTTACCCAAGAAGCTGCTAACGCATCAGACTCTGCCAAAGCTGCTGCATAGGCAATAGCGCACGGTTGCCTCACAACCCATTTTCGCACAAGCTTCTGCTTGTGGCGTCACCATTTTATTGGGCCGCATCATGCAAGGTCATTTGCATCACGCGTGCCAGAGTATGACTTCACGCATGTCAGATGATGACATACATTCAGCTACAATTTAAAGCTGGAAGGAATGGCAACAGCAGCCCTCAATGATAGAGCTGGATCTTGCAATTGTTAGATTCTAGCTGCGGGATCCCATCTTTGAACCCTGATATATTTTATCATTCATATATATATATATATATACATATGTGTACGTGTATGTGAGTAATGGTTTCCAGATGGCAATTTGCAACCTTGAATGTGATACCAAACAATGCTTTTAAACTTTTTGTGCAATTCTCTAACATTTGGCAATGCGGAACTATGTTCTCGAATATTTCCAAATAAGACCTATTCAAAAGTTCCAGAAAACGAGTATCAAACCTAGGTGAATTACTAATATTCGTTATGACTTGTACAATTTTTCATTTTTTCGAATTTAGTTCATTCAAAAATAAAATTGAAGAGGAAGCTCTTCTGTATATTTACAGGGTATGTTGGTAGTGTGCTCAGATGCTGGTTGATAATTTTACACGTCTACACCAGTTTTGTAATGAGTAACACTTGACTATGAACTCTGTTATTTGTTATTCAAAGTCAGAAACACTACAAGAAACTCTGGTCTGTATAATTCTATGCAATCTGAAGAAAAGAAAGGAAAAGCAAATTCTATGCAATCTGAATAAAATTATAATTTAATTAACATAAAAAATTCTTAACTACAACTTCTCAATTTTAGCCTTAATAAAACTTATGATTGTTTCTTTTAATAAAAAAATTCAATCAACCACAAGGTTTCTTGTAATCAGTAATAGAACTTGCTTCAAATACAATAGGTGTAACCAAAGTCGAGTTATTGCTTGTGATTTCTATTTAAACGTAAAAATTTATATGAGATAGTATTTATAAGAATAATATCATTACATTTTTTTAAATTTTAATCTTAGGAATATAAAATTATGTGATTTATAATTAATAAAATAAATTAAAAATATTTTTTTTGTAGATTATTTAATCATTGTATTCAAAGCAATATTTAGATTTTTTAAGATATTATTTTAATATGAAACCTTGGTTTATATCCTCTCTTATAGTAATAACAACAATAATCTCAAGCAAGAGCTAATTTATGTAGTTAGTGTTATTTTGGAAGAACACCAAATTAAACACTTCCTTTATCCAATGTGACTATGTTTCCAATTTCTTATATGTAATGTAAGATAGTTATTTATTCATTTATTTATTTTATTTTTTAATCAAGCCTTTGTAGTAATTTTGAAGGTACTTATCTGAGAAGGTCACCATCTTTTTATCTTTATTAATTGGAAGTAAAAGGTAAAATTAAAAATTAAAACTAAAAAATTGGCTACTAAACAATGATCTCAACAATTAGATTTTGTTTTTCAAGGCTTAAAATTGTAAAAAAATTTATTTGATAAAATTTTTACTTTGATTTTAGTAGAGAGCTCATCATAATAAGCATAAAGCTTAATATGTTTGACTTAAAATCATCTATATAAGTAATTTATAACTTTGACTTTTGCATTAATTCTATCGATTTAAAATCATTTATATGAATAGTTTAAGTAAATAATAAATTCAATAAAAGTAAAAAAAAAAAAAAGAGAGAGATAAGAATAGGCAAAATTATAGCTTAAGATTTGGCTCAAAATGATGAATTATGAACTTCATATTTGATGGATAGCAAATATACAAAATAATTTTAGAAACATAAGTAATATGTTTATTTCAACTCAAGTCCAAGGTACATGACAAAAATAAAAATAAAACATGATTTTTCTAAGAGAAAAAATAAAAAATAAAATAAAATATCTCTAATAGCACAAACTAATAAAATTAAGAAAAAGAGCCATAAAGAATTTAAAAAAATATAAAAGATTAAATTTATATTTTAGTTATAACTAAATTTATTAAATTTTATTAAATTTAAGTAATGTATATTTTTATATTAAAATTAGATCAATTGATAAAATGATAATTTATAGATAGATGTCAAAAATATAAAATATTAATAAAGATAAAATGAGTATGATAAAAGTAAGTAAATTTGATAATATCTTATGGAAAAGCTCCTCAGAAGCTTTATAAATATGGATTTGAATTTCTAAGTATTTGTAGGAGATTGGTAGATTGAAAACTAATTAATCATTTAGCCACATCTTATACATATTGATTACTTGTTGTATAAGTGTTACAAACATTCATATTTACTCTAATAATTATTTAGATAATAAAAATAGGTAGAAGAAAATAAAAGTAGAATTTTTTTATAATATCTTGTAGATAAGCTTCTTAAAAGTTTCATCTTTATACGTATTTATAATTAATTGATAGGTTGAAATCCAACAAATTTGCCATGTGTTGCATATATTGGTGACTTCTGATACAAATTGGATATGTAGCATACATATATGAAACTTGACTTGTAAGTTAGATATATGTCTTGTAAGTCGAATACATGTTGGAGGTCCTATAGAATGCTGCCACGTAGCTCTTAGTTAGATAGTATATATAGAGACAAGGATGAGGTCTTTCTTACTTTTATAAATTCTTTTCTTGCTTCTAGTTTAGTTTCAAAGGTCTCTAGTTTTGTTGTCTTTTGGTAATAGCTATTTCAATTTCATTTTTAATATATATATTTATTTATTTCTTTTTTGTCATCTTTCTTTGAAAAATATCTTAAAATAGCCAAAGTCATTATTCATCAAGTTCATATCCTTGATAGATTGATAAGAGTATACTTATAATATGTTGTCTTTTTTTGATTAAGAGTGGATTATCCCTTTTTCTTGATAATATACAAGAAGTTATAAATTATTCACTTCTAAATTGATATCGTGTTTATGATTTTTTTTGTTTTTAAGTCCTCTCTTGTATTTATCTTTAGTGCTATTAGATATCTTTGTTTCTATTATATTATTATAGCAAAGCTTCTTGAAATGAAGAATATAATAGCAAAAATATAAAAGCAATTAAAGGAGTTAATGCTTGCAATGCATTAATTCAATTCACCACCTTTAAGAAACAATAAGATTGACAAGAAGTAAAGATATAGAGATGATTGGATTTATTTAATATCTATACCAAATCATGTTACTTTTCTTATGATGGAATATCCTTCAAGTATTAGAAAACAAAAACTAGCCTTCTTTGAAAAGTTTGATGGCATAAGATCAAAGTTTTGAAGATTCATCAATCAAATATAATTAGTGATTGAACTTCAATTCTAAAGCTATTTAAGTTTGGAATCACAAGTTAGATTTATGAAAATACTATTTTTAGCTTCTATTTTATTTTATTTTATTTTTACATAATATAATCTAATATTAGATAATTTGGAGACTTTTTTGATAAAGTTTTGATCAATGTATGAAGAATATGATACAATTCATATTACAACCAACAAGCTTTGTATTTTCTAACAAAACAATTAATTAGTAAAGTTATATGCTTTATAATTTTAACAACTTACAATTGATATCAAGTAGGATGATACTGCACTCAATAGTCAATTTTTTTACAGATCATAATATGATGTAAAGAAATTAATGCTCAATTTATATAATTGTCAAATATTGAGTGAAACAATTAAATTTTTTGTGAAGTGTGATAATTGACTATTTGAATTTTGATATGACAGTTGTAGAAGTGGGCTTTAACATTTTTACAATTCAATGGCAATACCATTGGCTTTTTAATACATATATTTTAAAGTGGAAGTCATACAAATTGATGCAATATGTTTAAAATCTCTTATAGAATAAGAAAAGACTCATTATTATCAAGAAAGGTTGTGCTTATATTATTGCAAATCTGACACTATTCAACATTGTTCAAAAAAATAATACAAGTACAAAATAAAGAGTATGGCTATTAAAAAAGACCATATGTCAAAAAAAAAATTTGTCTAGCTACAATAAGGACCATGCGATTGAAACCTTATACAACATCAAGTGAAGGTCTTATTCTCTCTTCAAAATCCTCTCTTTGTTATAAGATAGAAATTAGTTTAGAATCTACATATTATAAAGCCTTTACTTTGTTAGATTTAGAAATCTTAGCTTATTTTTTAGATGAAGAATTTATTAAAAGATATAGCATAATTTTAGTAAAAAAGAATTAAACCAATATATGTAAAAATTATAGATGTTGTTCATTGATTTTTGAAAATATTATCCATAAAATATTTTTTATAGAAATATAAATTAGTGATTATAATAATTTTATAAAATTTAATATCATTAAATCATTCTCTAATTTAATAATTTTAAATTTATAGTAGCTAAAGGAATATAAACCTCAAATAGATTGAATTTTTTGTAGTCTTGATTTTTTTGTAGAGTATAACTAAGAGTTTTTTCAAGCAAGTAAAAAGTCATAAATCTAATATAGCTAAATTCTTATTTGTAGGTACAAGAACTTTTATGCATGTTGCAGAAAAAAGAACAATTTGAGTTATTTATACCACAACTATTTTTAATACTAAAAATACTTTAAGTAGCATTTCAAGTCAACATTAAGATTATTAGATATTTTTGAAAAAAAAAAATGTAAATATGCTTTTGAAGTATTGTCTTTATGATAGTTCAAATGATCTTTATGAAGGAATTCAATTGCTATTTGGACCAATCTATGATTCATTATAAAATAAGTTAGTTGAGCTTAAGAAATATATTGAAGAAAATATGGCTAAGAATTTCATATGCCATTTTAAATCTCCAACAATATTTCTAATATTATTTATGAAGAAAAAGAATAAATCATTACAAATGTTCATAAATCATCAAGAATTTTTCAAAGATAAGAACTTGATGAATGCAAATAAATAAATACAACATTTTTTAAAGAAAAAAAAGAAATAATATATAAATTAAAAAAATAATTAAAATAACTATTGTCAATAAACAATAAAATTAGAGACCCTTGAAACTAGATTAAAAACAAAAACTGAAATGATAAGAGTGAAAAAGTCCTTATTCTTGCCTTTATATATACTATCTAATTAAGAATTATATGGCGACATTCTATAGGATCTCTAATACGTGTCAAAATTATAATTTACGTGTCTAACTTAAAAAATAAGCTTCTTATATGTAAGCTACATGTCTAATTTTTACCACAAATCACTAACATATGTAACACATGACCAACTTGTTGGCCAAGTTTTCAACCTATCAATCACCTATAGACATG